CATCTTTGCTTTTTAACACTTTAAAGAGGTCTTTTGCAGCAGATTTGCCCAATGCAATAAGTCATTTGATTTCTTGACTGCTGCTTCCATGGGCAATGATTGTGGATCCAAGTAAAATGAAATCCTTAACAACTTAATCTTTTCTCTGTATATATCATGATGCTGCGTATTGGTCCAGTTGTGAGGATTTTTGTTTTCTTTATGTTGAGGTATAATCCTCAATGAAGGCTGTAGTCTTTAACCTTCATCAGTAAGTGCTTCAAGTCCTCTTCACTTTCAGCAAGCACGGTTGTGTCATCTGCATATCATAGGTTGTTAATGAGTCTTCCTCCAATCACAATGCCATGTTCTTCTTCATATAGTCCAGCTTCTGGGATTATTTGCTCAGCATATGAATAAGTATGGTGAAAGGATACAACCCTGATGCACACCTGTCCTGATTATAAACCACGCAGTATCCCCTTGTTGTGTTTGAACGACTACTTCTTGGTCTGTGTACAAGTTCCACATGAGCACAATTAAGTTTTCTGGAATTCCCATTCTTTGCAATGTTATCCATAGTTTGTTATGATCCATACAGTTGAATGCCTTTGCATAGTCAATAAAAAAACAGTTAAACATCTTTCTAGTATTCTCTGCTTTCAGCCAAGATCCATCTGACATCAGCAATGATATCCCTGGTTCCATGTCCTCTTCTGAATCTGGCTTGAATTTCTGGCAGTTCACTGTCAATATACTGCTGCAGCCACTTTTGAATTATCTTCAACAAAATTTTACTTGCATGTGATATTAATGATATTGTTTGATAACTTCCACATTCAGTTGGATCACCTTTCTTTGGAATGGGCACAAATATGGATCTCTTCTTTGTTTGGGGTACTGCCTGTGAAAGCAGGTGAGGAGAGCCCTCAGAGCAGACTGCCTCTCTGGCCCCCATGGATGGAGGGAGGGAAGGAAGAAGACTAGGAGGAAGGGCCTCAGCCTGCAGAGCAGCTCTGAGTATCTCACCAGGCCTACTGGGAGCTCCAGGTAGGCACAGATGGGGAACCCCACACCTGGAGGTGTCAGCTCACTGCACTTTCGCAGCAGATCTTTCCTGGGGGGACAGTCCCAGAGGGAGAGGTGCTCCTGGTGCTAGGCCTTCTTGGGAAGCCGTGAGGAAGCCCATTTTTCTAGAATCTAAGGCATGGGCAGTGTACTTGGGAATCGAAGGCCAGACAAGTGTGTTGGAGTGGCCCTGGCCTCAGGCTGAAGGCTTTAGGGTAGAGCCAAAGCATGAGGAAACTCCCCAGACAGAGGGGGACATGGGTGGAGATCACTTTGTCTGAACTGGACTCTGGAAAAAGGAACCATTCTTGGTCAGGTGCATTTTAGGTGGTGGCGAAAGCAAGCCATAAAGAGGGTTTTGTCTGCTTCCCGTCTCCTGCCGCACTGGAGAAGTGAGGTGGTTGGTGGGGGCCCTGGGCTCAGGCCTGCTGCCAGCATGCTTACCCCACCCCCCACATACCCTCAGGGGTGCAGCGAGCACTTTGTTGTCTAGGAGCTCAAGTCTCCCACGTTTACAAGGCCCCCATCCCTCCAAAGCTGGCCGGCTTGCCTTCTTGGTGTGACCCCTGAGCTCACAGCACAGCCTGTTCCTTCAGGCTGGCCCGAGTGCCCCCAGCCCCCCCACCACTCCTTATCCTCCGCGGCTGTTCAGAGAAGTCCAGCCAAGACAAATCCACATGTTTGTTTGTCTGCCTGTCTGCCTCTCCCAGTTTCTGCCTATCCCAGTCTCTTGACTTGGGTTTCTTTCTTGCAGCCTCTCAGTCTCTGAGGTCTCAAACCCACGAGGCTTAGCACATGAGCATAATTAAGTGTTCTGGAATTCCCGTTCTCCAAATGGGCCCCAGCGCATGGCCATTCTCCAAAACTACAAACCCCAGCATGCACTACTGCCAGAGGTCCCTAAAGAGTACTGGTGCACACCACCTGCATTCTGGGAATTGTAGTTCAATATCCCCCACACTCTTTCCAGGGTGCCAAGATCTCCCCCAGCGGGCAGTTCCTGCCAGCCCTGATTGCTGGGTCTCTCTGCTGACCTACCACCTCCTGGGAAGCATGCGTCACTATATGATGGGGTGGGGGTGGAGGCCCTGGATGGCAGCTTCCTGCTCTTTTGTGTCCCCCACTTGAGTCAGGGAGGGAGAGGGAAGGGGGGCAGGGGGTTCCAGGAAACTGGGGCTGGGAGGGGATGGGATACCCTAATGCCAGACTCAAGGACAAAGGTCACTGCATCCTTGCTGGGCTGGAATCCTCAAGAACCCAAGAGGACCCAGAGGTGGGGGTCCAGGAGTACTCAGATGTATGAAGGAGTGGTGAAGGAGAGAGCCTGGGGTGGCCCTAGAAGTCCCTGTGGTCACTAAGAGTCTGGATCCCCCATTCCCTGCTCCTGACGTGCCCAGCTTCTGTTTGGCCTTCAGGGAAAGGATGGCGAGGGGTGGCTATGAGGCCTTCCCTCTCGGCCCGCCACCACAGAAGGTTCTCTCTGACCTGGGGTAGCCCCACCCTGCTATTCCTCCCACAGGGCTCCTCCAGACACCTGGGCTCTCACTTGCCTGCTGTAGTCCTCACAGCGGAACCCAGGCGTCCAGCCCCCTACCCTGTGGGAGTGCGGGCATGGAGCCATAGCTGCACAGCCTCCCAACCGGGCTGGTTCCTGTCCCATTGTGTAAGAGACAGTGGCGGGGTGGGGCGAGGGCCAGCACTGGAGAACCCCCTCCCACTGCCCCCCAGCCCCCTCCCTGCTTCCTAAGGAAAAGGCCTGGGCTCTGCTTAGAGCAGCAGAGCTGAAGAGCCGCTGACATGGGCAACTTGAAGAGTGTGGGCCAGGAGCCTAGGCCTCCCTGCGGGCTGGGGCTGGGGCTGGGCCTCGGGCTATGCAGCAAGCAGGGCCCAGCCTCCCCAGCCTCGGAGCCCAGCCGGGCACCAGCACCAGTGCCCCCACCTGCGCCCGACCACAGGTGAGGGCCACAGCTGCTTGGAGCAGGTGGGCCAGAGGGCGGGTAGTCAAAGGCTGGGACTGGGAAAGCTGGAGCCTGCAGCCCAGGCGGGAGGGCCGGGTCACCAGCACAAAAGGGTACGGACACAACCGAACAGGACTGTCAAGGAGGCAGGGTAAGGATCAGACGGAGTCGAGCCAGAGCTGTGGAGGACAGACAAAAGTGGGTGAAGAGTGCCAGCTACAGAATCAGGCCAGGGTTTGAATCTTACTCTGCCACCAAGAGCTATTTGACTTTGAGCAAGTTACTTAATCTCTCTGAGCCCCAGTTTATATAAAATGGGGATGTGGCAATACTTACTCCACGGGTCATCGTCAGTCTCTAGCTCACAGCAAGCCTTCAACAAACTGTAACAACTGTTACTTAACAGAAGAAACAAGCTGGGGAGGGGTCTCATGGAATGGGAGTGAAAAGAGAGGAGAGCCCTGAGGGCCATTGGCTACGTCTTCTTCTCCAGGCCCCTCCTCCAGGTGACCATCAGCCCCACCTGGCCCTCCCAGCCCCAGCCCCTGGAAGGGTCCTCCCTAAGGCAGAGGTCTTGAAGAGAAGATGGGCATGGTGGGAGGCCAGGCAGGGGCTGCAGGCAGCCCTGCAGCCAAGGGCCCACACGGGGAAGGGCCCAGGGCTCCGCAAACAGGCATACCCCGTGCCTGAGTCCCTCCCTTCCTCCCCCGCGGCTGGTGGCTCTGGGAGGAAGTGATAAGGCCTCGAGGCTTCCCTTCACACGATCCACTACTATCAGGAGGGGTGTGAGTGGGTAGCAGAGATCTGGGCTGAGGAATCTCTGCTGCTGCCTCCTTTCGCTTTGGCCCCATTGACGAAGGCCTCACTGAGACTTCAGGGGACCTTGCTTGCATGGTTGTGGCTGGCCAGGACCCAGCCAGGGGCCAGGCTCCCAGGGCTTGACTGGGCACCAGGAGACCAGACGCAGGAGTCAGACAGGCCTGCATAGGAGAATGTGCTGTACCCAGCAACACCTCTGGCAAGACCCCAGTAATCATCTGTAAAAGCCTCCCTCACAAGCTGTTGTGAGGGCTGGCGGGAGAAAATGGAAGGAAGCACACAGCAGGCAGCAGTCGGTCATGGGATTATTACTGCTGTGGGAGGGGTCTCCAGGGCACAGCTGGCGAGGCCAAAGGGAGCAAGATCCTCCCCCATGAGCCGCCCTCCCCTGGCTCCCAACAGCCCCCTACCAGCCCGGCCCCCAGAAGGACCCAAGTTCCCTCGTGTGAAGAACTGGGAAGTGGGGACCATCACCTATGATACCCTGAGTGCCCAGGCACAGCAGGTGAGGTTCCCCCCACATACACCCCACAACTGGGCTGAGGATTGCTGAGGTCCAGTCTCAGCCCCGAGCCTGAGCAGGATGTTCCCTGAATTGGCCCCTGCCTTTAAAGAGAGGAGACAGAGTGAGAAGAACCACAGGTGCTGAGGGACAGGCAGCAGGACAAGCCCCCAATTACAGGGGGCTTTTGTGACCCAACCTCCAGCCCTTGCCCAAGCCCCGCCTGACCCAGCCCAGCTTCACTCCTGTTTCCAATCCCACCCCAGCTCTGGGCCCACACCCCCCTGGGCCCAAACCCCTGCCTCCAGGCCCCATCCCAGACCCCAGGACCCTGATCCGGTCCTGATCTATGCTCCCTGCTCCCCCGCCACCCCCACCCCACTCCAACTCAGGACGGACCCTGCACCCCAAGACACTGCCTGGGCTCCCTTGTATTTCCACGGAAACTACAGAGCCAGACATCCCGGGGCCCTGCACCCCCTGAGAGGCTTCTGAAACAGGCCCGGGACTTCATCCACCAGTACTACAGCTCCATCAAGAGGTGAGAGCCTCCCAAGAGCCTGCTGAGGCCCCAGGCACTTTGAGATCCCCTTCCCTATACCCAGCCCTGCTGTCCCCCAATCCTGACTACCCTCCCCACCTCACATGACTTCCTTCTCCCCCAGGAGCGGCTCCCAGGCCCATGAGCAGCGTCTTCAGGAGGTAGAAGCCGAGGTGGTGGCCACAGGCACCTACCAGCTTCGGGAGAGCGAGCTGGTGTTCGGGGCTAAGCAGGCCTGGCGCAATGCTCCCCGATGCGTCGGCCGCATCCAGTGGGGGAAGCTGCAGGTGTGGCTGGCTGGAGCAGACCCAGGACCAGGCCAGGGTCCAGAAGGCGAGGAGGGGTGGGGGCAGCTCCTGAGGCTTCTCTGATGGGTCCCACCAGTGGGGGAGATTCCTGCCCATTCCCTCAGAGACTGCAAGGGTCAGGGGGCCAGCCTCAGGCCCCATCTTCAGTACTGCCCGGGGAGCTGTCAGTCACTAGCTAACACCTGGTTATTAAGCAGGATGGTCACCTGGGCTGGTGGGTCCATGGCGGAGGGGGATCTGGACGCCCTGAGTCATTGACTCCCTGGGTGGTATTGTCAGATTCGCAGGGGCAGGGGCCTTGTACTGAAAAAGGGCCCAGCTTCCTCTTCCATTTGGGCCTAGCCTACCCAGCCATCCCCTCACAGCCAGCACACTGCCCCTTGACACAGAGCTAGCCTAGGTCACTGGAACAGCCTCTGGCCACAGCAAGCTAACCCACAGGAAAATCGATTCCAGGACTTTGGCCTGCTTAAAACTGTCACTGGCCACCGAAGAATTTGGAATAAAGCCACGTACTCAGAGAATCCCAAAGGAGTCTAGAATAAAATGACAATCCCATCTGACACCTAAAGAAACTTTTAAGTGGTTCAAAGCTTTATGTCAACTTTGACCCCTCACATCTGTGTCCCTCCCTCAGCCCCCAGCCAGCCACTGCCTCCTCACACATCACTAGTGCAAATTTCCTCCTCCCTCAGGCAGAGTGGGGCATCTCAGCCCCCTCCTGGGGCCTCCACTCAGATGCTCCTCCCAGCATCCAGATGTCAGGACTGGCAGAGGCCCTAGAGGCCATCTTACGCTGCCCCATCCCCATCATCAGTGGCTGGGTGGGGTCACCTGCCTGTGCTGGAGCACCATGGGCAATGGAGGCCTACCTGTCAGTGGCCAAGTCGGCAGTAGCCTCCTCATACCAGCTGCCAATCCAGCCTCTGTAGGGATCGGGAAACACGTGCCCCAGGAAAGACATAAGGAGCAGGCCAGGCTAGGGGGCAGGGCAGGAGGGGCCCAGTGTGGGGCTGAATGGTTGGAGAGGCTTCCCAGAGAAGAGCCTGGCTCACCATAAGTGAATCCCACAGCCTGCGAAGGCAACAGGGGAGGCCCTCCCCCAGAACTCCAGGGCTGCCTTCTCCCCTGGGGCTGGTTCTCAAGGCCATACTTTCCTCCCTGCCTCGGACGGGCTCAGGTATTTGATGCCCGGGACTGCAGCTCTGCGCAGGAGATGTTCACCTACATCTGCAACCACATCAAGTATGGCACCAATAGGGGTAACCTTCGGTGAGTGGCCCCACTCCTCCCCGGCCCAGCCTCCGACCACCGGGGCAGTGGAGGAGGGCTCTGACCCGCACCCCTCTTCACAGCTCTGCCATCACCGTGTTCCCCCAACGTGTCCCTGGCCGCGGTGATTTCCGGATCTGGAACAGCCAGCTGGTGCGTTATGCTGGCTACAGGCAGCAGGATGGCTCCGTGCGTGGGGACCCTGCCAACGTGGAGATCACTGAGGTGGGCACGCAGAGCAGCTGAAGAGGGAGTCCCCGAGGCAGAGAATGAGGGTCCTGGGCTGAGGCATGGGGATCCAGCCAAAGGGGGGTGAGCGAAGCAGGATGGGAAGCCCTCACTGAGGCAAGGGCGAGGAGACACAGTAAAGGCGTCGTCTCTGCCCTGCCCCCTCCCCCTCCCGCAGCTCTGCATCCAGCACGGCTGGACCCCAGGAAATGGCCGATTTGATGTGCTGCCCCTGCTGCTCCAGGCCCCAGATGAGCCCCCGGAGGTCTTCCCTTTGCCCCCTGAACTGGTCCTTGAGGTGCCCCTGGAGCACCCCACGTGAGCACAAAGGGACTGGGCCTGGAGAAGGAGGGGGCTGGCTGGGGTGGCCCAGCAGGCAGACTCCCCCTGGGCCTGACTTGAGGTCCCGATGCCCCCAGGCTGGAGTGGTTTGCAGCCCTGGGCCTGCGTTGGTATGCCCTCCCAGCGGTGTCCAACATGCTGCTGGAAATCGGGGGCCTGGAGTTCACTGCGGCTCCTTTCAGCGGCTGGTACATGAGCACTGAGATTGGCACTCGGAACCTGTGTGATCCCCACCGCTACAACATTCTAGAGGTGAGGGCCAGTGGGCATGGGGGAGGGCAGGACCCGCATGCCTCCCCATCTCAGGACAGGATCTGAGAGAGGGTCAGGTGAGGGCTGCCCCTGAAAACAGAACTGAGGATGAGGGCCACCGAACCACCTGAGGACAGGGCAAAGATATATGTACGTGTGCACATATGTGCATGTGTGTGTTAGCATGTGTCACACGTGTGTGCATTTCTTTTCTGGGAATAGGATCTATAGCTTTCATGAGATTCTCAAAGGGGCCCAAAACAAGGTTAAGAGTCCTTGTAGAGGTGAGAAATTAAGGCCCTGGGCTGAGAAGAGACTGGCCCAAGGTCCCTCCCTACTCTGTGGGACCAACCTGAACCAACCCCAAACTAGATAGGTCTCCCGATGGCCTCCCACCCTCACTCCTTCCACCCCACAAGTTTGAAACAGGAAGGCTCTCTGCCACTCCCCATGGCCTCTGTCCCTACCAATCCCTTGCATACCCCCACTCCCAGGATGTGGCCGTCTGCATGGACCTAGACACACGGACCACCTCGTCCCTGTGGAAAGACAAGGCAGCTGTGGAAATTAACTTGGCTGTGCTGCACAGTTACCAGGTGCACAGGCCGGACTGGCCAGGAGGGCGAGGGGGTTGGGAGTGGAAGAGATGGGGGCACTTAAAAACTTTGGAGGGCTGGAGACCTGTAGAAGGATCCCATTGCACCTAGGGAGCCATGGGAGCACTGGGCCCTGTGGTAATGCAACATGGGGGCCTCGCTGTGCCTGCTACCACAGGCTAGGCCGTGATCCTTCGCAGGGATGTTCTACCCCAGAGCACACTAGGTACCGTGTGTGGAACCACTGGATCCTGGGACCCCCAAAACCAGGATCTAGTGCGTGCTGGGCACTGTGATTTGAGGAAACTAGTGCCTGCTAAATGCTTCCATGGAGTCTCAAGAGTTCAGGGTATTTTGGTTTGGGGACAGGGAATACAGATACTGGAGGTTGGAGGTGCTATTGCACACTGAAGTTTAAGTATGCCTGTGTATGTGGGGATGACACTGTGTGGTTTGGGGTGACAGCCGTGGTGGGGGTAGGAAGGGTAGGGTGTGTGGGCTGTGTCTAAGCCTCTCCTGTCTCTCCTTCCCCACTCCAGCTGGCCAAAGTGACCATTGTGGACCACCACGCTGCCACAGCCTCCTTCATGAAGCACCTGGAGAATGAGCAGAAGGCGAGGGGAGGGTGCCCTGCCGACTGGGCCTGGATCGTGCCCCCCATCTCTGGCAGCCTCACACCTGTCTTCCATCAAGAGATGGTCAACTATTTCCTGTCCCCCGCCTTCCACTACCAGGTACCTACCACAACTGGCTCCTGCCCACTGGGTCCAACTCCAACTAAGCAGCCCTCAGGGGCCTCTAACTTTCTATTTATTTACCTCCCACCTACTCATCACTTCCCTGAAGCCAGATCCCTGGAAGGGAAGTGCAGCCAAGGGCACAGGTATCACCAGGAAGAAGACCTTTAAGGAAGTGGCCAAGTAGGTACCCTAGGAGTGTTGCCCCCACCCCAAGGCCCAGCCCCAAAGCGGTGGTCTGGGAAGGCATACCACCCCTCAATACCCCAAGGCCTTACTGAGATCAGGTCCAGACCCCAGTCTCAGTGGCCCTGATGGTCCCCTGCCCAGGGGAGGTCCCGTCTCCATAGCCCTGGGGAATCCCCTGACCCCACCCTTGCTTTCAGTGCAGTCAAGATCTCTGCCTCGCTCATGGGCACTGTGATGGCAAAGCGAGTGAAGGCGACAATCCTGTATGGCTCTGAGACTGGCCGGGCCCAGAGCTACGCACAGCAGCTGGGGAGGCTCTTCCGGAAGGCTTTCGATCCCCGGGTAGGCTGAGCCCAGAGGGGCAGGGGTCTGGGAAGACCAGGGGCACGGGACTGTCCACACCTCCTGAGGAGCCCTGGGGATAGGTTCTGGAGGAGAGGGTCATAACTCAGGGCCCATGAGGAGGCCTAGGGATCCAGGAAGCCTAACCCTGCCCTGCCAGGAAGGGCCAAGTGAGAAGGACCAAGGCAGCATCCCTCTCTTCACCCCCACCCCCAGGTCCTGTGCATGGATGAGTATGATGTGGTGTCCCTTGAGCACGAGACACTGGTGGTTGTGGTGACCAGCACATTTGGGAACGGTGATCCACCCGAGAACGGCGAGGTGAGGCCTGGCAGGAAAGGGGACATTGGGTGACTCAAAACCAGGGTGGCTAGGCAGGGGTACCCCATAGCCAAAAGTGAAGATGCTGTGAGAGCCCCCCAGAGTGGGAACATGGAAGTTCCACTGGGTTGTGGAGGCCTTCACAAGTCACAACCAGAGAGACAGAAATATTCCACTTCATTCATCATTTCAGCTTTCTCTTTTCTCTGACAAGAGAGAAGAAAGAGCACTGTTTAGATGCCAACATAGATTAGATGACTTCAGTTTCACCAGAACAAATCTTAAAAGACAAAAAAACCAGAGGAGGGCCATTGAATGCCTTATTGTCAATCATTATCTTCCAAGCATCTGTCTCTGGGCTGCCCCAAGCTATATTCCTTTCTGGTCCCTCTTATCTGCTCCAGCTTCTAAGTTGTTAAATCCCTAAATAGCTCCTTAAGTACCCTAAAATTGCTTGAATTCTGAGGTAAGCCTTCTCCCACTCCCTTATTGTCCCCTTCAGCCCTCGTTCTGACCTGCCTTTTAAAGAAAAATAAAATCATTAACAACTTTTTTTAGTATAAAAGTAGTATCCAAGTAACCCGCACCCCATCAGGATATAGAGCATTTCCATCACCCTAGAAAGCTCCCTTCTCAATTCTCCAGTTCAAACCCCTCCTACCAAAAGCGACCAGGGTTCAGATTTCTGCTGCCAGAGATTATTAGTTCGCCATTCAAATGGAAGCAGTGTGTCTGGCTTCTTTCACTCTGCGTGTTGTTGTTGGGAGTCATGCACAGTTACAGGAGGTAGTTCGTCCCAGTCTACTGCCGAATAGTACTCACTGTAGGAATAGACCCCGCGTGTTTAACCATTCTCCTGTGACACCTGGGCTGTTTCTAGCTTTTGGCTAGTATAAGTAAAGTTGTTAGGAACATTCTTGTGCAAGGCTTTTGTGAACTTACGTTTTCATTTCTCTTGGATAAATACCTAGGAGTGGAATTTCTGGATCATAGGGTAGATGTATGTTTAAATTTTTCAATAAAAACTGCCAAAAAGCCAAGCTGAGTAAGCTTGTACCCTTAAGATCTGTGCATTTCAACGTATCCAAATTTTACCTCAAATTTTTTTACACGGAGCAAACCTAGGAATATATCCCACAGAAAATGGGGTATATTCACTAAAAACACAAACAAAAATATTTATAGCAGCATTGTTCATAATACCCCTAAACTCGAAACAATTCAAATGACCATCAACAGTAGACTAGATAAATGAATTGTGGTATATTCTAATGTTATTCAGCAATGAGGATGAACAAATTACAACCACAAACAATACAGATGAATCTCAAACAACGTAAAGTAAAAGCCGCCAAACACAAGACTCCATATCGTATGATTCATTTTGCAGAAAGCTCAGGAACAGGCAAAACTAATGCATGGTGTTAGAAGGCAGGAGAGGGCTGGTTACCCCTGGTGCGGGATGGGGGGTTGTATGCTAATGATTAGTGAGGGTTTGGGGGTCTTCTAGGATACTGGTAATGTTTCTTGATGCTGATTACACAGGTATGTTCAGTTTTTGAAAATTCATAAGGCTATACATTTATGATATGCATTCTTTTCTGTATGGATGGAACATTTCAACAAAACATTCAAAAACTAACATTGAAGTAGTACATGCAAGTTATGGTGAACCTATAGAACCACCACCCAAATACATCTACCGTGAATACTTAGATGCTGTTTCCTTCTAGAGTTTGTTTTCACTTTCTATGGGAAGGTCTGTTTGGTGTGGTTCTCAGCTGTGCTCATGGCAGCACATAAGATTACCGTATCTGCTTCAGCAATCCCTGGATCACCTCACATCCTCCAGCCAGAGCAGAGGCGTGGCGCAGCCTCCAAAGGAGGGCCGCGTAAAAGCATTCACTACCACCAGTGATCCGAGCAGTACAAGAAATGGAGAATTATTTTCTGCCTATCAAACTGTCTTGAGCACTGAAGATGGGTAACCCCCAGTGTTGACATAGCGTGAGGAAAGTATTCCCCTACCCCGTGGTGGGAGCGTCACCTGATGCAGTCCTTCTAGAGGACTACTTGACTACCTCAGCAAGTTTTTTAATCCTTTGACTCAGCAATTCCACTTCTAAGCATTACCCTGCTGAAATATGCAAAACAGGAAGCAAGGTTATATACACAGAAGTGTGTGATTAAGCATTATTCAGAGGCCACCAGATGTCCTTCAATCAGAGGAAGTTTTACACATTATGGTTCATTCAAACGATGAACCATGGAGCCATTAAAGAGTCTGGGTGGCGCCAGCAGTTTGCCCTCAGCTGCTAATGGAAAAGCTGGCAGTTCAAACCCACTCAGCAGCTCCACAGAAGAAAAGGCCTAGTGATTTGCTTTCATAAAATTAGAGCGAAGAAACCAACAAAACCCTATGGAGCAGTAACTCTGTAACACATGGGGTCGCCAGGAGTCAGGGGCTGACTCTATGGCAGCTAACAACAACAATAACGTCGAACCATTACAGAGAATGAGGTAAATCTTGGTGTACTGACCTGGAAAGAAGTCCAGGATAGGTTATCAATAATAAGCAAGTAAGTGTTGTGTGGTCCCATTTTTTACTTTAAGCAAAACAGCCTATACACACAAATATGTAAGGACAATGAAAAAGGGCTAGAAATTTAAGTGCCTGTCAATAGTGTATACCCTGATGTACACCTTCCCTTCGCACAGAGCTTTGCAGCCGCCCTGATGGAAATGACCAGCCCCTACAACAGCTCCCCTCGACCCGAACAGCACAAGTGAGAGGGGACGGGAGTTTCGGGGGGCTAAGGGGCAGTGAGATGTGTGGAGACACAAGAGGAAAGGGGGTCTGAGGTGCTCTCCCCCTGCGCCTCAGGCCATTTTCCCAAAAGGCTGGAGGAGAGCTGTGGGGACACCCGCTAAATCAAGGCTCCAGGAGGTGCTCCTCCCTCCTGCCTTCCTTGTGACCTGCCCATCCAGTCCCCAGGACTCTAAGAGGCAGGTGGTCCTGAGGTCTCCTTCAGAGAGAGGAGGAGGCAGAACAGACCCAAAGGTTCAGAGGCCCCCTGGGATGCTGGCCCTCAGCCCCAATCCCAACCTGGCTCCTGAGAGAGCAGAGCCAGGCCAAGGGTAGGGCCTTTCCCACTCAGACGCAGAGCCTGACACCGTGTCCCTGGCCCAGGCCCTTCTTCAGTTCTCTGGGATACCTGTCTTTGTCCTCTCTTTCCAGGAGCTACAAAATGCGCTTCAACAGTGTCTCTTGCTCAGACCCCCTGGTCTCCTCCTGGCGGCGGAAAAGGAAGGAGTCTAGTAACACAGACAGTGCGGGGGCGCTGGGCACCCTCAGGTTTGCCTCTCGGGGAAAATGCTGGGAGGGCAAGCTCCCGGGAAAACATGGGCTGGGGTCCGGGTGGGCCCTCGTGACAGCTCCCTGCCTGCCAGGTTCTGTGTGTTCGGGCTGGGCTCCCGGGCATATCCCCACTTCTGCGCCTTCGCGCGCGCAGTGGACACGCGGCTGGAGGAGCTGGGCGGAGAGCGGCTGCTGCAGCTGGGCCAGGGGGATGAGCTGTGCGGCCAGGAGGAAGCCTTCCGTGGCTGGGCCCAGGCCGCCTTCCAGGTGAGCCCTGGGACCTGTCCTTGACATCTGACCCCAGTTCACTCCTCCAGCCCCCAATTCTGACTCCAATCTGGGACACCCTTGCCACTACCTAGATCCCGGTGTCTTACTGCTGGGACCTGCAATATTGAGTCTGGAGGCTCACTGCTGCCCTGATTCTACTCGGCTCCCTGATCCCTTCCTGTTCCTTCCAAAATCCACCCTCATTTTGCCACTAGAGTCAGCCCTCCTGGCCCAGTCCTGAGTGGTGGACAGCATGGTTCTACTAATGATGGGAGAGCAGACAGGGTGCTGGCAGGTGGAAGTCCAGGTCAGGCAAGGCTGGGTCCCGTGAGTGGGCACACAAAGGGAGGGGTGCAGGACACGGACAGGACACCCTGCCCACGGTAGGCAGGATGAAGGGAGAGGGACAGGATCGAGAGGGTCAGACTGAGGCGAGGTCTGAAACAAAGACCAGCACAAAAGCTACAGAAAGTCATAGAGGTTGCCAAGCATAGCCTGTTAACAAGCCAGCCAGGCTTGGGCAGGGCCTGGACTGGAGAGGTGGTCCTGGGCCTGGGGAGGACAGGGACTGAGGGGCTGTGACTTTTTAAGCCTGGGCTTCCTCAGGGGGCAGCTATGCCTGGTCTGGGGATTGTGCTTGGAACTCACGGTCCCCGGTCCTGTCACTGTCCTGGGCTGGGTCAGTGCCAACCTACCAGGTCAGGACTGATGTAGAGGAGGAGGGCCCTTGAGGATGTGGGGATGCAGGGGCCTGCCTGGTGGAGGTGGAGGGTCTGCTGGGGAGAAGACGGTCACGCTGGAGAAACAGATACAACCAGATTGGGAGAGAAAGGGAAACTGAAACCAAGGCTAAAGAATTTGGAGAAAGAACCAATGGAAGTTATGGAATGGGACAAGAGAAGGAATGAGTACAACATGACATTTTAGGAACATTGCTTAAAGAAAGGAAGACTCTGTGCTAACTAGGGTGGCAGCAGTGGGACTAGAAAGGAAGGGAGGGGGCCGAGGAAGGAAGGAAGAGATACAAGACTTTACAAAAAAAAAAAGGAAAATGAACCAAGTTTGGCGATATGAGTAGGGAGTAGAGGGAGTGGCCCATCCTGGGGAGCTTGTGCCTGACCAGAAACAAATAGGATATGGACCCTCCCAGGGGCCCTGCCCCACGGGCCCCACCCCAGCCCCTGGGCTCTGTGCAAGGGAGGACAGACCTGCCAGAGCCTCCCCCACCACCCTGAACTCTGCGTCCCACTGCAGGAGCACTTACTATCTGTGCTAAGGACTTTATAACAAAGCACCTTATTTCATCTTCACAAGAAGCCAAGAAGGCTTGAGGATGGGGACACTGGGCCATGTAAAATGCAAGTTCAGGAATCAGAATTTGAACACAGATCTAAAAACACAGACACATTCGCTGAATACTGTTATGCGACAAGCCCTGTGTCCCAGGGGCCATGGGGGGTGGGGGTGGGGTACACACAATCAACACCAACCAGATAAGTAACTCATGGGTGGGACACAAACAGACATGCATGAAAGAACAGCAGTGGCCCTTGGGCCCTGTGGCCCATGAAGGGACTGAAGTGCAAGGGCTCATCCTCAATGTGGCCTTGGCCTCAGATACATCTCAGTTTCCCTCCTGCCACTGCAGCTGCTGATCCCATAGCCCTGTGTACCCTTCCTGGGTACCTCCACCCCTGCAGCCCCACCAGGATGGAAGGAGGAGACTCAAAAGGCAACTTGAGCTCCTCCTTGCTTGGGCCGCCCCCTGATAACAGGAGGTCCTGAGCCCTCACTAACGTCCCCCTCACCTGAACAACCTCAGGCCGCCTGTGAGACTTTCTGTGTGGGAGAAGACGCCAAGGCTGCTGCCCGGGATATATTCAGTCCCAAACGGAGCTGGAAGCGCCAGAGATACCGGCTGAGTCCCCAGGCCAAGGGCCTCCAGCTGCTGCCAGGTGAGGCCTGACTTACCTTGACCTCTGGGGTCCCCAGGACCCCAGGCTATCTCATTCAGGGTGCCAGGCTCCCTGGCTCAGTTGTCTCCTCTGCCCCCTGCCCCACCCCAGGCCTGATCCACGTGCACAGGCGGAAAATGTTCCAAGCTACTGTCCTCTCAGTGGAAAACCTGCAAAGCAGCAAGTCCACGTGAGGAAGACTGCTTACCCCATGCTCCGCACCTGCCCCAGCCCTCATCATCCTTCCCCTACTTGCCCCCCACCCCCCGTAATCTGCCCCTCTTCCACCCCCAGCCGGGCCACCATCCTGGTGCGCCTAGACATTGGAGGGCAGCAGGGGCTGCAGTATCAGCCAGGGGACCACATTGGGGTCTGCCCGCCCAACCGGCCTGGCCTGGTGGAGGCGCTGCTGAGCCGCGTGGAAGACCCGCCGCCGCCCACCGAGCCCATTGCAGTGGAGCAGCTGGAGAAGGGCAGCCCTGGTGAGGAGCACTGTACAGCCACAGCAGTGTGCATCTGGCCTATCCCAGCTGCCTCCCTCTGGTTCCGGGGCCCCCCAGGCTCCCGAGCTGGCAGATGACAGCACCGCTTGGGTACAGAGCTGGCACTGCCTACCTCTGGCCAGGCTGGCCTGCTTCCTTTCTTAGAACCCCCTTTTTTAGCCCACCCATACACATGCACATCCAAAAGCCTATGTCTTGCCTCTGGGCTCCTCCCCAAGGTACCCCTGGCAGCCTAGCCTGCTCTGTAGCTAGCATTTGGTCTACCCCTGCCCCACCAGAGCCTGGGGTTAAAATAAGATGGGTGGGTTAGGAACAGTCCAGCCAGTGGCCCCCAAAGCAACACACCAAGGCTGCCCAGAAAGGCCCACCATCTGCCACTGTTCAGAACAAGTTCTCCAACAAACACCACATGGTCTATCAGTCCCATTTACTCCCCAAGAGACGGTCCTCAGCCAGCCAATCCAGTTCTGGCTTGACCCCTTCCTCAGAGCTCCCCTGTGCACCCCCCAGGTGGCCCGCCCCCCGGCTGGGTACGGGACCCCAGGCTGCCCCCATGCACACTGCGCCAGGCTCTGACCTACTTCCTGGACATCACATCCCCACCCAGCCCTCAACTCCTTCGACTGCTCAGCACCCTCGCTGAAGAGCCCAGTGAACAGCAGGAGCTGGAAACCCTCAGCCAGGTTGGGGTCCACCTCAGCGGGGGTGGAGCCAGTGAGGCAGACTAGCTGTTGGGGAGGAGATACAGTGGGAGGAAGCAACCAGGCAAAGCTCACACTCAACTATCTTTACCTGGCTACCTTGGGCTGACGCTTCAAGACCCAGCTTGAGAACTACTAATTCCTCTTTGCATTCTCAAGGTCTTACAGAGCCTGGCACAGAGAACGTGCTCAAGAAGCATTCGTTGGCCTGAACTGAGGGGGAGAAAGCCTATGGAGGACCAGCTGGGAGGGGTCAAGCAGGGAGGTCAATAGGAAGGGCTACAGGGTTCTAAGCCCCCTTCACCCTACCCCCTGCAGGACCCCCGGCGCTACGAGGAGTGGAAGTGGTTCCGTTGCCCCACGCTTCTGGAAGTGCTGGAGCAGTTTCCGTCGGTAGCACTGCCGGCCCCCCTGCTCCTCACCCAGCTGCCTCTGCTCCAGCCACGGTACTACTCCGTCAGCTCAGCACCCAGTGCCTCCCCAGGAGAGATCCACCTCACAGTAGCTGTGCTGGCATACCGGACCCAGGGTGAGGCTGGGGAGGAGGCGCAGGGCCAGAGCCACGGCAGTGATCCTGGGAGTGGCCCCTCATTGGCCCGCTCTCCTTCCCAACTCCATAGATGGCCTGGGCCCACTGCACTATGGTGTCTGCTCCACGTGGCTGAGCCAGCTCAAGGTTGGAGACCCTGTGCCCTGCTTCATCAGAGGGTAAGGGGGCACTGCAGGGGCAGAGGTGGGGAAGGAGAGGAGGAAAGGAGCAGCAAGAAGAGAGAGTGTGTCTGTCTGTCCAAGCAGGGGCTGGAGAAAGAGCCCCGGATGGCTGGGGACAGAGAAATCAGTGGTGGGGTTGCACAGGGCAAGGTGGTAGCTTTGGTGGGGGTGTTACTGGAAGCAGGGAGGACCTACCTAACATGGCAAGAATGGGGTATCTGGCTAGACCATTTCAGAACTCTGTCTGGGCCTCCAGGCTGATCTGGGCCCTCTCACTAATTCACTCTGAAACTACACCTCCCACAGAGACAGAGCTGGGATTAACCAGCAGACCCTGTTGATTTTTGAAAATGTCATTTCTGTGTCCTTAGGGTCAGTCTGATGGGAGGTACAGCACTCGGGGACTATGGTCCACAAGTCCCCATTTTATCCAGAGAGAAGGCATTAGGGTAGAAGCCATCTTTGGCCATGGTATCATTGAGGACTCAAAGAAAGCGAGGGATCTCATGATGCCCTTCCCTTGTACTACGTTCAGAAGTCTTGCTCCATCCAGCAGCTAAGAAGCTGAAAGTCTTGGGTGACTTAGAAGAGTTACCAGGATGGTGCCAACTAGGCCTGGAGGCCCAAATCCATCCATGAGTCTAAATTACACCTACCCCATACCAACCTACTAAATACAAACCAAATGCCAATATTAAGGCCATTGTTTAAAATAAACACTCAGTGGACCCATTATGAACCAGAACTCATCCTTGCCTTCTCCATAGTCTCTAAATCTCCTAAACTAAGACATCAAAATATTCTTCAATCCAAATTTGAACTGTATTTCCTTTGGCCCAATCTCTGGAAACCAGAGATCCAGGGTGTTCCTGCCTGCAAGTACAGTGATTTTAACAAACACCTGCACAGGGTTTACGACCAGCCAGATGCTGTTCTAAGCACTTTTACAATATTAACTCATTTATCAGTGGAAGTTGAGCTCTCCCCTCTCAGGCTGACCCTGCCACTATGGAGAGCAGGGGAGTTGGAGAACCCAAGGGGGCCTGACAGAAGGTCTCTCTGGCCAGTGCTCCCTCCTTCCGGCTGCCGCCTGATCCCAGCTTGCCCTGCATCCTCGTGGGACCTGGCACGGGCATTGCCCCCTTCCGGGGATTCTGGCAGGAGAGGCTGCACGACATTGAAAGCAAAGGTGAGGCTGGGGGCCAAGGGAGTCTCAATCTAGGGGCAAGCGGGTGGGGTTAGAATGCAGGAACCAGGTACGTGAAGTGGGTAACAACCTGAGGCCACAAATATGAAGCTTATTAGATCAAAGGGAGAATGCATGTCTAGAGGCAAGGGCTCTGTTGGTCGGGTGTCCTGGTATCTGATACACAATGGGTGTTGAAATGGATTAAGGACAAAGGAGAATTGAAGTGAATTCTGGACTCGGTCAGAGCTTACCTAGGTAGGTCCAAGACCTAAGGAAGGTGTTCAGGTTGCAGTTGGGGTGCCCAAGGTAGCATGTACATCAAGAGACAGGGGTTGTGACTGAGAGGAAGGTTGAGAGCAGGGGAGCTAAAGGTGAGAGAATGCGGGGTTGGAGGTGGGAAGGGGCTGGAGAGAGCTCCAGGACTATAACGCTAGACAAAATAAAGGGCGTGGAATTATGAGCCAGAAGCACCGAGTTCTAGCACAGCTCCGCCACTGGCCATTCCACCTGAGGCATGTCACCGACCTTCTTTGAGGCGCAGTTTACTTCGCTGTAAATCAGGGATAAAGCAGGGTCTCTGCGAAGACATCCTGCATTTTTCTAGAGGCCAAGCAGCCTCAATGATTGTTTTGGCCTGAAATGCATGGGCTGGGAGCCCTGGGCGCGAGTAGCCAGGGGTGCAGGTGTAGGTGGGGCTGTGCCCCCAGAAGGGAGCACTCGCAAGCCGCAGTGCTGTTTACAGGGCTGCAGCCCGCCCCCATGACCTTGGTGTTTGGCTGCCGATGCTCCCAGCTCGACCACCTCTACCGTGAGGAGGTGCAAGACGCCCAGCAGCGCGGGGTGTTTGACCGTGTTCTCACCGCCTTCTCCCGGGAACCCGACAGCCCCAAGGTGCGGACCCTGAGGACTCAGGGGTAACCTGAATGAAGATAGGGAGAGAGGGAAAACCAAGGACCGACATGAGCTCATATGGGGAGCCCGGCCCCTTCGCCCAGCCCGTCAGCTCCCACCCACCCACGAGAATACATGCCCTCAATCCAACTTGAACCGCACCCTCAAGCCCAGAGCCCCCTTTGGGTCCCCCACCCCCCGCACTCAAGATCCGCCCGGTGTTTGGCTCTACCTCTCCCGATAATTTTCACACCCAGTGCCGCCCAGGGCTCCACCGCCCCTAACCCCGCCTCCCGCCCAGGGCTCCACCGCCCCTAACCCCGCCTCCCTCAGACTTACGTGCAGGACCTCCTGCGGACTGAGCTGGCTGCTGAGGTGCACCGCGTGCTGTGCCTCGAGCGGGGCCACATGTTCGTCTGTGGCGATGTCACCATGGCGACCAGCGTCCTGCAAACCGTGCAGCGCATCCTAGCGGCAGAGGGCGACATGGAGCTGGACGAGGCCGGAGACTTCATCGGCGTGCTGCGGGTGCGAAGGGGCGGGGACCGGGGGGCAGGGTCCAGGCGGACAGGGTCCAGGCGGACAATGCGTGGAGGGACAGGCCCCGAACAGGAGCCCCCGGCCGGCAGGAGTCCCGCTCGGATCTCGGACCGGTTCCAAACCAGGGCCCTCCTTCCCCGCAGGATCAGCAACGCTACCACGAGGACATTTTCGGGCTCACCCTGCGCACCCAGGAGGTGACAAGCCGCATACGCACCCAGAGCTTTTCCCTACAGGAGCGGCAGCTGCGGGGTGCAGTGCCCTGGGCGTTCGACCCGCCCGGTGCAAACACCCCTGGCCCCTGAGAGTCCTTTTGCTTTCTACTCCAGTTCCCGGGCCGTCCAGCCGTCGGTCCACCCTGTTTCCCTCCCTTCCCAAGGTGCTTGCCCATGTCTGTCCAGAGTCTGCGGAGCATCAGCCTTATTCCTGGGAATCAGCGAAATGTCTCTTCATCTCTCTAGGCCCATTTCCCTACCTGGGGCTGGACTAAATCTGGAAGGCCCCTTCCAGCAGTAACATTCCAGGGTCTACTATTACCTCTTTTGTATTTTTTAGATGAATTTTAGATTCCCCTGACCTCTCCCAGGAGTATCTAACCTTTAAATCCTAATCTCTAAATCATTCAAGTATTTATTATTAAAGATTTACCGTAAGAGATTATGCCAGGTGTTAATGAATGATGTGAAGATGTCTAACACTGTCCCTGCCATCGAAGATCTGACAGTCAAATAAAATTACAGAATGGAAAGCTTTGTCTTTTAACTTGGAGCACCCTTGTGCAGATGTGGGGTGGCAGTTCTTTGACAGGATTCCATCCCCTCTTACCGGGGCAAGAGCCTGCACACTTCACATTGGCCTTGTTCTCTAGTAAACCCTGCTTCCAGGCAGCGCCACTCCCTTGCTCTCGATTGAAGATTGAGGAAGCAGTACAGCCCTCGGTGCCAGAAGACTAGTCACAAAGATATGTATACAACCTCAAGCAATCTTTACTTCTGATTTCATACAGGATGATGAACCCCACCCACTTCCTAAGACATCACACCAGTGCTAAGCTGTCTTTCCACTCACAGTCTCTACCAACCCCCCCTCCACCTCCACCTCAAGTCCATGGGGACCTGAAGGACAGCCAAGGCCTTGCAGGTCCCAGGCCTCATTTTTTCCCAAAATTAATTTGGCCTCCACCTTGGCCCTTCTTCCCTCCCCCTTGAGATTACTTTAACTAGTTGGGGGGGACTTCCTTCACCCTCCCCGCCCCCAGTGTAGGGACCATCTCTAACACCTGTTTCCAGATGCTTTTGGCATCTCTCCTACTCTTCACTGCTCTCTGGGGTGAGTTCCTCATTCACCCTCAGAGGTCCTGCTCAACTAAGGCATCCCTTGGTCTGTAGTCTGTAGGGGAGGGGGCTCTGAAAAGGCTCATGTGTCCTTCCACTTCACTCCTTTCAATTTCCTGTGGCTGGAGAAGCTGGGAGCCTATGGGAGGGAAAAGCTCTTGGCAAGCAGTCCAGGGTTCTAGATTCCAGAGATTGTCATCCCCATCACCCCAAATTCCCACCACTGTTCGCACCCCTCCAAGTGTGGCTCCACCCAATTTCCCACTCATTCCTTTCTTCCTCCTTCCCTCCTGGAATATTTAATTCTCCCCTCTCTCCATACCATCCAGACCACACTGACCCTGAGGCAGTTTCTCAGTCAGTACTAGGGGCCTGACCAGGCTGTTGCTGGGTCTCTGTGGTCTCCTGAAACCCTCCAGGGAACAGGTTCTGGGCCCTCTGTGTTCTCCACTGCTGTCTAGGGCTGGAGGCAGGACTGGAGCCTGCTGATAAAAGCCATCAGCTAGGCAGTGCCCTCGATGCCCAGTGTCCACCCAGCATCTGTTCCCTATGCACCCTAGCTCCTCACCATCACTTGACCAGGATGGCTTCCCCTCATCAGGTGAGAGTGGATGGAAGGGGCTGGACCAGGGCCTGGACAGTGAAGAGGCTGAAGCTTCTCCCCACAATTCCTGATGCTGTTGCTGGTGAAGCTAGATGGAAAGGAAGAGGAATGAGGAACTCCTCCCGCCCTTGTGTACGATGCTAGGCCCTGGGCTGGGTACAGCTGGTCTTTGAACCTCCTCTGCCAGCTCCTGCTAGGTATTTCCTTAAACTCTAGCCCCCTCCCAGTCTCCGTGTTGTTCACCTGCTTTCTCCCCCACGTTTCTCTTTTCTGCACCCCTCTACTCACCTGGTGCAGGTAGATGGCATGGAGACTCATCTCAGCAGAAGCAAGCTCTGGGAGCTGGGTCAGCTTCTGGCCCCCAGGGCCTCCTGGGGACACACAGCTGGAGTGGAAGGAGCAGTAGGTGAAAAAGACATACCCTTCTCACAACTAAACTCCATGGGGAGGGCCAGATTTAACCTCCCCTTCCCACAGTGCCCCAGCTCCCTCCTCCTGGAGGATCAGCTCCAGCACCTGTATTGCCTTTCATCTCAGGACACCACCCCTCACCTCGGGTCCTGGGAAATCCGGGATATGGAGGCCAGGAGGCTGGCTGTGGCTGCAGCTGGGCAGGGAGATGTGGGGCTCAGATCCTTCGGGGGCAGGAGAGGGTGCACCAAGAGGTTGGCCAGGAACACCTCTGGCTGGAAGCAAGAGAAGAGGAAAAGCTGAAGAGGAAATCAGAAGAGAGGTCAGAAAGGGAGGGAGGAGGTCTAACGAAGGCAGCAGAGCAGGTTGGGTTGGGCCAGTGCTGCAGGTTAGTACTCAAGGTGAGGTAAGAGGGGATGCGAGAGGTGAGCGGTTAGGTGATGAGGGTAGAAGGCCCGGGACTCACCAAAGATGAAGTGGAGTCACTGAGCAGCCCAGGGGTGGTGGGGCTGCGGACCGAGGTGGCGCCCCAAGTGGCTGCGTCTTGTTGAACTCGGCCCCGAAGATGCCCGAGGAATTTAGAGCTGTGCCCGGGGGGCCGCCATTGTGGATGCGCCAGGAAGAACCTCATTAAGGAGAGCTCCGTCTTTCCATCCTCCGCACGTTGAGCCAGTGAGACTTCTGTTTGTCCTGCTGAGAGCCACTGAGAGCAAGAACAGTCCTTCAGGACTGTGGACACTGCTTTATAGCTACAGTGGGAGCCTCAAGGGGCAGGCTGGACAGGAAACACTAAGAAACTGAGGCCAAGAGGGCACTTGCTCAAGGTCATCCAAAAGTACAGCCCCAGGGCAGGGCCTGAGTCTGGATGCAGTGCAGGGATACAGCACAGGCTCGAATCACAGGCCTGTGCACACCCAGTCCCCCAGGGCCGACTCTGGGGAAGCCATCTTTACTACACCCCACGCACTGACCAGCCGTTTCTCCCCAACTCTGGTGGTATTAGCTATGTGCCAGGAACCCTGAGGAGTGCTCTACGTGCATCTTATTTAACCCTCGCAACAGCCCGGGGTCTTGGCTTCTATCAATGTCTTCATTTTACAGATGAGGAAGCGAATGCTCAAGAAAGTGACTTGCTCAAGGGCACAGGTGGCAAGTGAGGAGCTGGGCTGGGAACCCAGTCTGCTTTGAGTGTGGCCAGCAAACTCCTAGCTGACCATAACACTGTACGCCAGAGAAGGACTCTAACCTGAGGGTGGCCATGGCGCTTCACGTCCATAAGGGCAAAGGAACAGATGTCCCCAACCCCAGCCACATCCACAGTGAAGTGATGAAAAAAGTCAATAATCTCCAGGGCACGAGGGCGAAACCAGAAGTACAGAAACAGCGGGGTGAGGAGAGGCGAAAGGAGCTCCTCCAGGAGGGAGACCTGGGAAAGAGGGGGGAAAAGGCTGAGAAGGGGTTGCTAAGGGAGGCCTGCAGCAATGATCAAGACCAAGAGCCCCCTGGGACACTCACCAGGGCAGGAAACCTCCAACCCAGTCGCCCCCCTAGGCCCTGGGGGGCCTTCCACTAGGATGCAGCCCCACCTAGGCCCTCCCCCGCCCCGCCCTCACCGCCCGATACTGCAGCAGCTGCGCCATCTGCCGGTAGGCGCCAGCGTTGCGGGTGGGGCTGGGCTCCTCCGGGAGGTAATGCATGTGGGCCAGAGCCGCCTGGAGGAGGAGCGGCGCGGAGCGGCCCTGGCAGTGTTCCTCTGGAAGGAAAGACCTGGAGGCGGGGCGGGGTGAAGAAGGTGCCCGCGGTTAGGAGGGCGTGCGAATGGCTTGCAGGGGCTGGGAGGAATGGAGTCCCTGGGCATTCCCGTCGCACCTGGCCACGGTGGCCGTGACACCGAGCACGGTCATGGCGGTGAGCACGTGCTGCACGGCAAGCACGTCCTCGTCGTAGATGGTGAGCACCACCAGCGCGGCAAAGAGTGTGCCGGCATAGAAGACGAGCTGGCGCGCCAGCAGCGCCAGCATGGGTGCGGGCTGCGCGGCGGCGCGCAGAAAGGCGGTGGCAGGGCGGTAGGCGCGGTCCAGGCGCGCGCACAGTTCGTGCGGAAGCTCATTGAAGTGGCGCAGCTGCAGGCGCGCAAAACGCGACCAGCGTTGGGCTCCCAGCGCACCTGGCTCGCGCCGCAGCAGTTCTGCGTGGCTGTAGAATGCGTGCAGCACCTGCCAGGCCAGCACTAGTGGGCTGAGCGCCAGGTTGGCAGCGGCCAGCAGCAGCGCGGCGCGGCCCAGGCGCGCGGCCAGGGCGCCCCTCTGCTCGCTGCGCTTGTAGGCGTCAGGCAGCTCCCAGCCGCCGCGGAAGAGCGAGAACGGGCCGCGGAAGAGCAGCAGATCGACGTTGAGCGCCAGGCCGCGGCTGAGGAAGGCCACGCTCCCTCCGCAGGGCAGCGCGCAGCGGGCGGGCAGTAGGCCTTTGTTGGCCAGAGCCACTTGGTAGTTGGTGTAGCGAAGGATGCGGTGGTGGACGTCCAGCTCCGTCAGTGGCCGCGGCTGCACGCACAGCCCACCACTCCTCTGCAGTGCTAGGAGGCGAGACTGCACCTCTGCCCAAGGCATGGAGCTGAGCTCCTCCTGAGGAGGGGAAAGTAGTGAGCGCCAGCTCACTCGGAATCCTTCCCCAGTGACACCCAAATTCGACAACCCCCAAAAGTGCCACAAACTCACCATGACCAAAGCTACACTCTTCATCCCCCCACCACCTTCCACAGTCCCAGCTCCACCCAGGTGTGAAAACTGTCACCTTTCTTCCCTCTCTTGACCCTCCACCCACCCTGTATCCAATTGTCACTAACAGGGCACTTCCTACTTCATCCTTTTCTGAATTGCTGTGTTCTTCATAGTCCCTGCCACTCATGTGACCATTAGCCATGTGCTTCCCGGTGACGCCTCACTAGTTAGCTCTTCGGGTGTATGAACTGACTTCTCAATTGCACTGTGAGATCTTTAAGAACAAGTTTTTCTCCCCCCCACCCCCCACCCCCCGCCAGTCAGCACATAGAAGACACAGAATGGCTGGCAGCTAATGGGGACATTTTTCCTTCCCATCTCTCATATGCCTGCCAACTCTTGTCCAGAATCCTCAACACTTTTTGTCTCGGCCTGCTTTGAGACCCCAGCCCTGTCCTACTTCTGGTCCTCTTGCACTCCACCAGATTAACCTGGACTGGCTGTGTCCACGCCTCGGGAGCTGTTAGAGCTCATTTGGAGGGCTGCAAATCTCATTTTAAGCCCTTTTCACCCAGCTTCCCCAGTCCAGGTTAGTCAAGCCCCTCTAGGCCAGCCTCTCCAGTTCATCCCAGTGTGTCCCCTTCCCCTAGAATAGGGGAAGAGGGGAAAGAAAGAAGGGAGAAGGGTAAAGAGAAGGGTCAGCAGCCTCCTGGAGGAGCAGTGGTCAAAGTCCTGCTCTCCCATGCCCCTGCTTCCCTGGCCCTCCCCACTTTTCCCTGCTCTATGCGTTGGGCTCCCTGACTCAAGAGGGCCTTCTAGAACCTCTCCCCTATGCGACACAGAACAGCTGTGCAGAAGGCTTTGGTCTTCTGAGGAACAAGGGAAGCTTGCAGCAGAAGGTAGCTTTTGAGCTATGCCTTGAAGAAAGAACTTAGGTATGGAGCAAAAAGCAGCATGATCAAGATGGGAAGGAAAGAAAGAGCAAGACGTGACCAGAGGACGGTGAAGAGGCCAACCCCATGGCTTACTGTAATAGGAGGCAAGACTAGAAGGGAGGTGGGGGTCACCTGATAAAGGGCCTTGAATGCCAGACTAAGGGTTTGAACTTGATCCTGGGCTCTCTGGGGGCCACAAAATATCCGAATGGAGGAGTGGGGGCCCTAGGTCAGAGCAGTGTTAGGAAGATGAGCAGAGGGGTGGGGGATGTTCTGTGCCAGGAGTACTTCCAGAAAGAATGCTCAGTTGCAAGCTGGAGCATCAGTCTCCTCTCTGCTGCCCACAGATGCTCACCGATTTTCCCTGCCTTCCTGCAGGGAAGGAATGGAAATGCCCTCCTCTCCTCTCCTATCCTTCCAAGCCCAATCCAAAAGCCAGGTGATCCCCTTTTCCCTAAATGCCTATTGTTTTTACCACAGACATGTGACTATAAATCATCTTATATTACCCATCTAAATAAACTAAGCTCCACTAGGGTAAGGACCATGTTTTATAAGTGGTGCTACCCCACCTCCTAACATTGGTCTGAGCCTAGGGTAGGTATCAAGAAGGCCCACCCTTTCTGCCCTCTTTCCAATTGGCCCCTCAATCTGTATGACCCCCACTCCTTCCCCTATCCTCTACCACCCTGTCATGGCATTCTTCCACACAGACACGTGCCCCCACCCCCACCCCCCAGCTCACCGGGGGAATGTGCAGGGCCTGCCTGTAAAACACCTGGATGTCCCAGTAGCTGAAAAGGTTGCAGACTGAGCGAAGCAACTGGAACAGCCAGAAGCCCACAGACTGGACCAGTAGGAAGACCAGTAGGGGGCTGGAGCGGATCCTGTATGTTAGACAGATAGTGGTGGAGAAAAATTGGGAGCCCAATAGAGAGGGACGCCAGGCTTAGAGAGTAACGGAAAACAGTCAGGGGGAGAGGGGATGCACCTAGACCAGTGGTTCTCAAAGTGTGGCCCCGGGACCCCTGGGGGTCATAAGACCCTTGCAAGGGCCTGCAAAGTCAAAACTACTTTCAAATAACGCTAAGATGTTTTGTGCATTTTTCATTCTCATTTTCTTATGAGTGTACTGTGGAGTTTTCCAGAAGCTTCATGACATTGAAGATGTCATCACACTGACAGCCAATGGAATGTGTGCTTATACATTCTTATGTCTTAAAAATGTTCTCAGCTTTAATATCTAATAGGGTAAATATAAGGAGCCCTGGTGGTGCAATGGTTAAGTGCTCAGCTGCTAACCTAAAGGTCAGTGGTTCCAACTTACGAGCAGGAGAAAAGCCTGGCAATCTGCTCCCATGAAGATTACAGCCTGAGAAACCCTATGTGGCAGTTCTACCCTGTCATATAGGGTCACTATGAGTCAGAATTGACTCAATGGGACACAACAACAAACACAGGGTAAATATTAATAGATATTACCCTCAGGAACAAGAGCTCACTAGTGTTATCAGTCAATTTTAAGCATATAAAGGCATCCTGAGAGGAAAAAGTTTGAGGACCACTGATCTAGACCAAGGGACAAAGGGAGAGGGGGCTCTTGTCTGTTCCTCTCTCCACGACATGTCTGCCCATGCTCCCTCCCCGGCTGTCACTCACCGCTCAGCACACTGGGCCGAGGACAGGATGGCATCTGACAAGGTCACTTTGCTGTGAAGCGGCCCAGATGTATGGTTATTTGGTTGGTTGGTGAAGAGAATGTTGTAATCCACACAACAAATGAGGAAGGTTGTGAAAGTGACAATGAAAATGAATTGTCTAGGAGATGCAAGGATGAGGCAGTGATGAGGTCTGAGGGCCAGGCAAGCTGCTGCCCCCAGACCCAGACAAGCCAGGGGTCATCCTCTCCACCCTTCTAGCCCCTGGGCTGCTTGGCAAATCATCAGGTGGATTAGAAGCAGGTGCTGTTAAAGAAGCAAGAGGCTAGGAGGGCTCTAGGGTCCAGAGGACAGAGTTTGGGGTCCAGGATAAGCATCTTACCCCAGCTGGAAGACGTCCTCCAGCAGGATACAGGCAAAGCCATTCCGCTGGTGATAGCTGTAGATGTGTCAGGCTCATCAAGGAGTAAACCAGAGGCAAAATGGAGGACACCACCCCCTCACTGCCCCCAGCAAATCCCCTGGACCCACACACACCCTCCGAGTCTCCCTGCCAAGAATAGTGCTAGCCCCAAAGAGGCTTTATGCCAGTCCTGGACCCAAAGGATATCTTGGTGAAGAAGCTGTCCAGGTTCTGGATGTGATGCCAGGAGCCTGGGCACAGAAGGAAGAGTGCTGGAACTCATCTGAATGATCAGTTTTCCACTCCCCTCCACTGGCTGCCAGAGGAGCAGCCTGGTTCGGGTAAGCCAGTGAGCCCCACACACCCACTCACATACACACTTACACCGGAGCCCTTCGGGCACGTGAAGCAGGGGTTGCTGCTCCTCTCCATGGAGGGGTGAATCTTGGGACCCTTCAGGGTCACAGTCTTCCAGTCTTTCATAATCCTGCTCTGGGATCAGAGGGCCTATCCGAAGCCCAGGAGGGTCCTGGGGGCATCGGTGTGAGGGAGGGGGAGTCACCGAGGCCAGGGGTGGGATGGAGTGGGATCCCCAGGAGGGGGAGGCAGAGGTGGATGTCATCACGGGCTGTGCCCGTGCTGGGGTGGAGAGGGCACTGTGGTGAGGCTGAGAAGGCCCTGACACCTGCAGCATTGGGCAGGGGGAGCCCAAGGCAGGAGGGAGAAACAAGGAGGGGGAGCTTCTTGGGTGAGGGGCAGAGGACAGAGAGAAGATGGAGATCCTCCCTCCCCCAGGCCCCCAACATGAAGGAGGACAAGGAGGAGGTGGTGATATGGGAAGGAGGGGCACTGATGCGGACCCCAGGTCTCCCCACTGCCCCAGCCGCCCCCTCTTCCCCCCCACAACCCATTCGGCTCACAGTCAGGCTGGTGGCTTCTCCAGAAAGTCTGGAAGGATGGGAGTTGTTGCTGTTTCCACAGAAGTCTGGGGAGCTGAGCAGGGACTTCAGACAGCAACAAAGATAATGACAATAACAATACTAAGTGACTCAGTTGGGGCAGGCCAGAGGCATTCCAGTTCCACTCACACCCCTTTCAGGGCCACCTGCTGCCAAGCTTCAGGGCCCAAGTCCTCCCCAGCTAGGTGGACTTGGCTCTTTAGAGTGTGCCTGGGTGTGGCATCTTTTGAAGAGACGGCTGAATTGCAGTTGAGAAAGAGGCACCACCTGTTGCCTCCACCTGCAGACCTTGAATTTAGAGGCAATGAGAGCAGAGGCAGAACAACAAAGGAGGAAAGCAAGATCCTACTAAAGGATTACTGAACTATGGGGTCAAGATGTTAAATCTTTGATTTTTTTAAATCTTACCCCTCCCCCACTCTGATCAACACAGACATGCAGCCAGGTTGGGGGAAACTGAGAAGAAAGGAAAGGAAACTATCTTGGATTTGAGAAGTGGTTTTGGAAGCTCAAAGAAGAAAAATGGGGATCCTTGGAAGTTCCATTGTATTTACTTCCTTACCTTCTTGAACCCTGACACTTCCTCCTTCAAGCTCTGATCAGTTTCTGGGGGCCCCTGAGAAGCAGCAGGGCTGAACCAACAGGAGGGCAGCTTGGGGTCCAGGATTTGGAAGGATAACTTGTGTATCCAGGGATGAGCTGAGTTGAGTTCCTTGTTGCTGCCACAAGGAGGGGTAGCTCAGGCAGCTGGTCTGGTGGCTTGCCCAACGCCGTTCTTGAGGCCCTGAATCATCAAGCTTCCTACCGAAGCTGATTCCTGAGGCTCTTGCTCGGTCACCCAGGTGTCAGGGCCTCCAGGGCTTAGGCCCAAGGGCTGACTTAGGAACTAATATCCATGAATAGAGAGAGGAACACAGTACTTCCCAGATTGGCCACTGGAGGACTGTGGCAGAAATGGAGTTGCTCTCTCACAAAACACCTCCTTCCTGTGAGAGGAATTGGCTTAGCATCTAAAGATTTGCATAGCTTTCACACTGAGCTGGAGCAGAGCTGAGAACGAGACCCACCTCTACTAGAGTAGGCATCCTAGTATCCAAAATGGAATCCCACATTGTAGATGGAATAGGAAATTCCCATGATCTTCCAGAGTCATGTCTAGATGGTTTACTGGGGGTTTTGTCTGCTTTCCCCCACCTAACTCACCTTGATATTCCACCGCATTCACATTAGGACCCCTCCCATACACCCCTGAACTCCTGATTTAAGAAATAATGTTGGAATCATTATTCCCTGTCCTTGAGCATAGAGAATGTGACCCAGCTGCAGCTGGGCTCACAAGGGCTCACAACAACACATCAACTGAGCCCTGAGGTATAAAAACAATAGAAAGGATAATCTTGGAGAATATCTTTTAGGGAAACTTTCAGGGAAACAAATCATCAAACAGAACACAAAAGACTTTCCACTCTTATCTTTTTCTATTAGCATTTAGTGAATAGAAAATTTGTTGGACTAGCGAAGACACTCCTGACTGTCATTACTGAAACCTGTACCAATGATTGTTAAGAAAGACAATTCAAAATGTAGGATCACAGTGAAAAGGTAAAGCTTTCAATGATTTTGCCCATTTATAATGTTAATATATACTGAAGACTCTAACGTTCCTTGGACTCGGGCAGACGTGGCTGTGGCAGCATGCTTGTCCATTTTCCCACTTTTGTCTGTTCTGTAATATTTCCTTGTACTCAGACAGACGTGGCTCTGGTAGCATGGTTGTCCGCTTTCCACTTTTGCCTTTTTGAATATATGCCAACTAAAACTTTTTGTTTTGCTTTACTAAACTTTGTGATTTTTTTTCCCTACAACACTCCCCAGCCCAACCTCAAACTAATCCTGACACATTTTCCTACCCAGTTCCACCACAGATTAATTGAATGACAGCCTCCCTACCACAGCCTCCCTCCCCCATCCCATTCAAGTCAATTTATTATAAAAGTCACTTTTCCCTGCCAGCCATTTAATGGGGGCGGAGGAGGGGGCAGCTGATGAATGAGACAGAGCCACTACACAAAAAGAAGTCACAGCTCCGTGGGGGAGGCAGATGTGCAAACGCATGATTACATGGAAGAAAGAAATAAGCGCTAAACAGAGGTGCAAGCGCTGTGCTGTAGGAGGCTAAGAAGTCAATTCGGACCCGTGAGGAACGCTTCTGTTGGGAGGTAGATCTGAGGTCGCGCCTTCGTAGGCTACAGAACCTCCATACCAGTGGTTCTCAATCGTTGAGAGTATTACAGCTACCAAAATACAGGGTTGTTTTTTTTTTTTTTTTTTTTTTGCGGCTGCCAACTCGGTAGTTCTGACAGGTCTGGGAGGGCTGGGTAGGTGGCAAGGTACGTGGAGTGTTTTGAAAACTCCCCGGGCCATTTTTTTTTTCTTTTATTGTACTTCAGGTGAAGGCTTACAGAACAAATAGTTTCTCATGAAACAGTAGTACACATATTGTTTTAGGACATTGGTTAACAACCCCACAACATGTCAACCCTCTCCTCGACCTTTTTTTTTTTTTTTTTGTGAAAAGATACACCTCGGGCCATTTTTGTTCATTCGTCCTCCAGCACCAGCAACAGCCCGGGAAGTCTAGTGTCCACCTGGAGTACAGTAGAATGGCCCCGGGGTCAGCCGCTGACGGTTACTATGGATACCCCGGAGGGCGTGACTATGCACACCCTCAAAACGTCACCCCGTAGCCAACCCGGGCAGCTCCGGTGGCAGCGCCCGCCCTGCTCCGCCTCAGCCAAGTAGGCGGTCCTTTCCAATCACAGTTCTGGGAGGAGTCGGCCCAGCATGTTTTCTCCAATCACTCCTTGAGATGAGAATGACGTCCCTGTCCTCTAATCATAGCTGAGGTGAGAGGGGGCTGTCGGGAGGGCGCCTGACCCAACATGGAGCCCTCGGTGGGGCGAGGGTGAAACTGCTGTTGCTGGCTGCTCCTACCCTCCTGTCCCATCATGTTGGTGCACTTATTTCGGGTCGGGATTCAGGGCGGCCCTGTGCCAGGCAGGCCGCTACTGCTCCGGCTCCAGACATTCACCGCCGTCAGGTAACAAGGGGCCACCCTTCTCGAGCGCGGGCCGTTGTGGCCGGCGGGCGCGGGGTCCTCTGGGAGATGGAGTCCCCGGCTGCGCGAGACCTGCCAGGAGCTTCCGGCGGACTTGGCTGGGTGGAATGTCACTCTCCGGGATATCAGCCTTAATTATTGATAGCGACGGTTCAGGCCAGCAGGAGGCTCCGCGCGTTTGTTTGTGTGTGTCGGACGGACGGAGGGGACTCTCGGGGTCAGTGCACACGATCAGTCCCTCTCCCACCAGGAGGCGCCTTGCTGCACTGGTATTCAGCCATCGGGTCGCCACTAGGCACCCATCCTCGTTCTTGGAATTGGTCCGGAGATTTGGACATTTTTTATTAGTGTCGAGAGACATCTAATATAGGTGGTGCCAAAATTCAAAATGAGCTGAACAAACATGGCTCCTGAATCTAGATACATTCAGCAGGGATAAAGAGTCAATTTAATAATTCATACGTGTGTGTTCTTGGCAAAGCACTTTCTTTACATACATTGGTTCAAAAAGAGAGAGATGGGTGGGAGACAAGGACCCTAAAACTACAACTTAAGTGTAAATGCTTTATGAGAAGGGACTGGTTTCCTGAGGGAAGGGCAGGCAGATTTCCAAGGGCGGGGAGATGTGGAGTTGTGGTGTCATTTGGAAGGCCAATCTGATTGTTAGAGGGCAAGAGTTGGAGAGAACTAGAGCTGGAAGTACTGGGGCTGGGAGGTAACCCGCCAGTTCTTAACAATGACCAAGCCCTTCTCAGAGTCTTTGGAGAAAATGAGAGAAACTGGAAAGTGGCCGTGATAAATTATTAAAAGGATTGAAATAGTCCTTGGGAAAGAATAAGGGTGTTGATATTATTTGAACCAAGGAGAAACCCGAGAAAAGCTATCAAGTAATATTTAAGTATATGTGTGTTCATAAGTGCAGTATTTTTCAAATGTGTAGATCACAACACATTAATTAATAGATCATGAAATGAATTTAGTGGGCCAAGACCATTTAATAAATGAATATAATAGAAAATATTAGAGTACATGTTAAAAAAAATTAGGATAAGTATTTTACGAAGTACTTCAATTTCATGTAACGTACATCTGTTCATACATACTGGGTTGAAATGTGTTGTTACCTGCTGTCGAGTCAATTTCTACTCGTAGAGATCCTATAGCATAGATTAGAACTGTTCCATAGGGTTTCCCAGGCTGTAGTCTTTGTGGGAGCAGATCACCAGGTCTTTTGTCCCACAAAGCTGCTGGTGGGTTCAAACCACCGACCTTTCTGTTAGCAGCCAAACACTTAATCATTGCACCACCAGGGCTCCTTCTTGGTTGCATTGTAAAATGTATTTATTACCGTGGACCACAGTAAGTCTAAAAGTTTGCAAAACACCACAGCAGTGGATCAGTCAGATTATTCTGCATCTCTAATGAGGGCATGCCTTCATTCAACAAACACTTGCTGAACATCTGTTATGCACTAGAGCTCTGTTAAGTGCTGAGGGTACAATGGTGAATAAGACCTAGTTCCCCTGCCCTTTAGGAACTTACAGTCTAATGGGAGAAATTGGACAATTACACAGGGCAGAAGGAGAGTGAGTTTCTCTATCTAAAAATTTAGGATAGCCATAAAGAAGATAGTGGGAAACAAGACATCAAAACCAGGCAGATGTAATGGGGTAAGGATGGCATTATATAGAAGTGGCAAAAAGTACAGGCGTCCCTGAAAGCAAGGGGAATGGTGAGATGAATTCAGCAGTTATGATGGTCTGGGTCTATGAAAGACCATCATGGTAAAGGGAAAACCTCACACTATTTTTTTTTCAAAGCCTGGTGGCCTAGTGGTTAAGAGCTCAGCTGCTAACCAAAAGGTCGGCAGTTCAAATCTACCAGCCACTCCATGGAAACCCTGTGGGGCAGTTCTACTCTGTCCTATAGGGCTGCTATGACTCTGAACCAAGTCGACAGCACCTAACAACAGCAACCTTCTTTTTTCAGAAACCTCTCCCCATCAGTAATCTCACTGGTTTCTTTGAGCATATATTTTTGACTGCGTAACTTCTAACAGGCTTCCCTGTAATCAGTCTTATTCTTCTCCAGTCTGCTCTCATCTGTGATCCTTAAAATGCAAATCTGATTATGTTACACTATCTACTTAAAGACTATGAGTGGTCCTCACCCTCTAGACAAAGTTCAAATGCTTTATAAGAACTGTAATGACACCTCCATGCCCACAAGCCTCATCTCTCTCCCTTCTTGTATGCCAGGCTTAAATCATACTGTCCCTCAAATTGTCTTCAGTCCTTTCTTACCTACAGGTACTCAAACGTGTTTTCCCTCTGCCTCAAGCTTTACCCGACTTTATCCCCACCACCTTTACCTGCTAGCTCCTGTTCACCCTCACGTCTCATCTGGAAAGCCTTTCCTGACTCCTCAGACAAGAGGGACAGTGCCCTGCCATTCCCCTTTGACCACGCTCAGAAAGCTTAGTTATGAACTATTTAATTGTCTCCCCCTACTAAAGATTAACCACCATGAGGGAAGTTACTTTGTCTTGTCCACCTCCCTATTCCCTGTGCTTCATAGCTGAATACCTGGCACATAGTAGGCACTCAACAAAAGTGTTCTGAGCAGTTGAATCTGCATTACCATTTTATAGATATGGAAACTGAAGGAAAGAGATGTCGAGATAAGTTATTTAAGTTTCAATTTTTCTCTTTCTTCCTTCACCTTATGGAGAAGGAATGTGTCACCCTTTCCCTTCACACCTTATCACATAAGGCACTCAAGGCCTAGGAGAAGAGGTAGCGGGTGAAATGTAATAAAGACTTCGCCCCAGGCAAGTCACCCATGGCAAAGGAGAAAGAGCCTGAGTTCTGGAAGGAGACAGCAGGGTTCACCTCTGTCCCAGTTCTAGTGCTTGTGGGCAGATTATTTAAACTCTGTCAGCTGCATGTGATTGTTTCATCTACCAAATGATGATAACAGCATTTCCCTTCCAGGGCCTCGAGGATGAAATGCAGAGGGCTGTTAGCGCTGAAGGCAGGGACCACATCTGCCATGTCACTGCCCTGAGCAAGCGCAGTGCCAGGCATGGGGCAGGCCTGCTGCTTTCTACTGCTCTCTGGGCCTCACACACTTCTGCATCCTTCTCTGGAAAGCAAGTGCCTTCCAGCTTCAGCTTTTTTTTTTAAATTCTAAAAGTGCAGGGACAGGAGGTGATCACTGCTTCTGGCAGCTGAGCAGGGCCTGCGGGCTGGGTGCTGTCTGGTGAGGCAGCTGTAGGGGAGAACATGCTTAAAACGTGATGACATGCTGTTGGCTCATTCCTCGGTGATTTTGCTTGTGGGTATTTGTCTTAGAAACTAAAGTTGCTTAATTAAGAACAGTCTTCAGAAAGGCGGCGTGGAGGGCCTGAGGGAAGAGGAAATGGTACTCTCTGAAGGCCCAGGTTTATTGGTCAGTTGAAGGATAGTTGGGACCTCAGGCCATCAATGCCATTCTCTCCCTGCAGGCACTCTGACAGCCACCACAACTCCTACCTCATCAGGTCCGTGGCCCAGCTCCGGTCCCAGCTCCGGCCCCACCTTCCCCGAGCTCCCCCAGCTCCCAGCCGAAGCCCCCTCTCTGCCTGGCACTGGGTTGGGGGAGTACTACTAGGCCCCGTGGTGCTAAGGAAGTGCTCCCGTCTCTGCCTTGTGGCACGGTGTGAGGCAGAAGAGACAGAAGAGGCCCCTGCTATCAGCTTCAGACCCTATGTTGAGGAGTCCCGCTTTAACTGGAAGCTCTTCTGGCAGTTTCTGCGCCCCCACCTGCTGGTCCTGGCGGCAGCCATTGTGGTGAGGTCTTTCCCCACTGTTGCCATGGCCAGGGACAGGGAAAGTTCTAGGAAGGAGTTTGTAGAGTCCCCAAGCGAGAGCAGGGCAGGGACACCATCCTCCATACCTCACTGAATCTCTCAGGGAAGACGTCATGGGAGCAGTATGGGACGGCCTGGCCTGGGAACCTGGGGTCTGCACAGGGTGGCTGGATTTGCAGGGTGTGGGGTTCCCTGGGGCTGGAAGTCTCAGCTTTAACTCTCGAGGTACAGACAAGTCCACAGGAGCAGTCAGAACATCGCCAGTGGCAAGGCTGAGTAGTGGGGGAGGAAAGGCTAGGGTAGGGTGGGGGATGGGGAAGTGTGTGGCTCCCCCTCTGAAGGTCTGTCCCCTCTGCCCCCTCTCAGCTGGCACTGGGAGCAGCACTGGTGAATGTGCAGATCCCCCTGCTCCTGGGCCAGTTGGTAGAGATTGTGGCCAAGTACACGAGGGAACACATGGGGAGCTTCATGACAGAGTCCCGGAACCTCAGCACCCGCCTGCTGCTTCTCTATGGCATCCAGGTACAGCAGGGGGCGGGCCTGGAAGCACCCAGAGGAGCCGGGAGGCAGGGCCTGAGTGTGCTGGCCTCCCCAGGGGCTGCTGACCTTCGGGTACCTGGTGCTGCTGTCCCGCATTGGCGAGCGCATGGCCGTGGACATGCGGAGGACCCTCTTCTGCTCCCTGCTCCGGTATGCCCACTGCAGGGTAGAGGGTGGGGGTGTCTGCTGGGTCCAGAGGGGTCAGGGTGAGTGTCTGGGTGTAGGCAGAAGTAACATCTGAAGTAGCATCTGAAGTAACATCTCCCTTCTTTTCCCCTAACTGCTGCCCTTGTACCCACCACCAGACAAGACATTGCTTTCTTCGATGCTAAAAAGACAGGGCAGCTGGTGAGCCGATTGACAACTGACGTGCAGGAGTTTAAGTCATCCTTCAAACTTGTCATCTCCCAGGTCAGTGGCCTCAGGACCCCACCCCACCCCACCCCACCACACCCACACACACCCACACACATTCCCTATGCATCTTCACGAGGCCAGCCCTGCCCTGCCCCACCTCTGGCGTTGAAGTGAGAAGCCTGCCCTCTGGTGAGGGTGTAGGGAGTAATTGAGGAAGCTCATAGAAGGGAGGGGGTAGGGCAGCATCCAAGGTCAGGATGGGCTGTTTCTGTACTGCTCTGAAATCCTACCTCCCCCCGGAAAAGCTTTCCTGGCTCCGCTCATCAAAAGCAGAAACACTCTGGCCTGCCTTGCCCCAGCATGCCTGGACCACTGACAAGTATTCAGCCATACTGTGGCTTTTGCTGCATTGCTGATGTCCTCTTCTTATCCATCCCTGTCATCATGGTGCTGTTGGATTACACCAGACGCTGGCCTCCCCTTGCCATGCTTTTTGTTTGGTTTCTAGAACAGAAAGGAGCAAGCTGGGGTGTATATAGGGAAAACGCCCCCCTCTCCCCCATTCCCACACACGGGCTCACAGTTTGCATGGGAATGAATTGCAAGGACCCACAACAGTCTCACAAAGCCCCTTTGTGACGGCTGATTGTACCCCAGCAGGTCAAGAAAAGGTTACATCTGTGACCAGTGGACGGCCAGTTGGCCTCCCAGGAGTCAGACCTGTGACCTTGTCCTTGTGAGTTCAGAGCTGTAGCCTGTGACCCTTGATAAAGCCCCCCATGTGATGGTACTGATGCCAAATCGCCTCTTCTGCCTTCCTGCCCGCTTCCCCAGGGCCTTCGGAGCTGCACCCAGGTGGCTGGCTGCCTGGTGTCCCTGTCCATGCTGTCCACACGCCTCACACTGCTGCTGATGGTGGCCACACCCACCCTGATGGGAGTCGGCACCCTGATGGGCTCCGCTCTCCGAAAACTGTCTCGCCAGTCTCAGGAACAGGTATCAGAAGTCCTTGCCCATCCTCCTCCACAGCCAGTTTTTCTCGCTCCATACTCTGTCAGCCCTCCTCTGTCCCCACACTTGCTTACCTATTTCCTGGACTCCTTGCAGATTGCCAGGGCAACAGGTGTAGCAGATGAGGCACTGGGCAATGTTCGCACTGTGAGAGCCTTCGCCATGGAGCACCGGGAAGAGGAGTGAGGCTTGGGGTGGGGGGTGGAGCACGGGCAGAGACTCCCCTGGCCCACCCTGCCCCACCCTCCAAACAATCCAGCTGCTCCTAAGTGCTGGCATTTGGCCTCTCTCACCAGACGCTATGGAGCAGAGCTGAAAGTGTCCTGCTGTAAGGCAGAGGAGCTGGGCAGAGGCATTGCCTTATTCCAAGGGCTTTCTAACATTGCATTCAACTGTGAGTGAGCAGGTTCCAGCCGGGAGGGAGGCCAGTGGATGGGGAGGAGGTGGTGTAGGTTCATGGCTTGGGATGATCTTGGAGGGGCGAAGGATGGTCCCAACAAGGTGGGCAGCGGGCATGCTCCATCTGCTTGATGCTCTTCAGGGACTCTACTTGCCATGTACTGAGTGCCAGTACTGTGCAGGTGGCCAAGGATGCTGACTCAGCCAGGTAATGGGGGAGGCAGGGGCTGTGTGTCATAACTGAGCTATGTGGGGACGCTGTAGGGTCTCCCAGGACAAAGCCATGGAGATCTGTCCCCGACTCCAGTTTGGTTTTGTTTTATTTTTCTTTTATCATGGCAAATATATATGTAACAAAACATTTGCCATTTCAACAATCTTCACATGTATAGTTCATTGATAATTACGTTCATCATGTTGTTCAATCATAACCCTATCCATTCCCAGATTTTTCCATCACCCTTAACAGAAGCTCAGTGTCCTCTAAGCAGTGAGTCCCCGTTTCCCTCTCCCTCCTGCCTCCCCTGGTAACCACCAATAAACTGATCTGTACACACTTGCCTATTCTGGATATTGTATGTAAGTGGGATCATACGATGTTTGTCTTTTTGTGACTGATTTAGGAAACCCTAGTGGTGTAGTGGTTAAGAGCTACAGCTACGAACCAAAAGGTGGGCAGTTTGAATCCACCAGGCACTCCTTGGAAACCCTATGGGGCAGTTCTACTCTGTTCGTTAGGGTTGCTATGAGTTGGATTCGACTCAACGGCAACGGGTTTTTTATTTCACTCAGCAGAGTGTTTTCAAGGTTCATCCCTGTAGCATGTATCAGGACTTCATTTCTCTTTCTGGTTGAGTAATATTCCGTTGTATGTATGTACCACATTTATTTATCCATTCATCTGTTGATGGGCACTTGCGTTGTTTCCACTTTTTGGCTATTGTGAATAGTGCTTCGGTGAACACTGGTACATAAATATCTGAGCTTTGTTTTGGGTATATACCTAGGAGTGGAATTGCTGGATCATATGGTAATTCTACGTTTAACTTTTTGAGGAACTGCCAAGCTGTTTTCCGCAGCAACTGTACCATTTTACAATCCCAACAGCAATGGATGAGGATTCCTGTTTCTCCACGTCCTTGCCAACACTTGTTGTATTCTGTTTTTTAATCATAGCCGTGCTAGTGGGGGTGAAGTGATATCTCCTTGTGGTTTTGATTTGCATTTCCGTCATGACTAATGACATTGAGCATCTTTTCATGTGCTTGTTGGCCATTTGTATTTCTTTTTTGGTGAAATATCTCTTCAAGTCCTTTGCCTGTTTTTTTATTGGGTTGTCTGTCTTTTTGTTGCTTTAAGAGTTCTTCATATATTCTGACTATTAAACTCTCACCCAATATTTTCTCCCAATCTGTAGGTTGTCTTTTTACTTTGTTGATAAAGTCCTTTGATGAACAAAGTTTTTTATTTTGATGAGATCCCATTTGTCTATTTTGTCTTTTGTTGCTTGTACTTTCGGCATCATATCTAAGAATCCACTGTTAAAAACTAGGACCCGAAGCATTACCCCTATGTTTTCTTCTAAGCGTTGTATGGTTTCAGATCTTATATTTAGGTCTTTGATCCATTTGGCATATGTGGTATGAGGTCTGGGTCTAGGTTCATTCTTTGCCTTATGGAAATAAAATTGTCTCAGCACCATGTATTAAAAAGAGTACTCTTTCCTCATTGGATGGACTTAGCACCCTTGTCAAAAATCAGTTGACCATAGATGTATGGGTTTATTTCTGGGCTCTCAATTCTGTTCCATTGGTCTGTGTCTCTGTCATTATACAAGTAACAGACTGTTTTGAGTGCTGTAACTTTATAATATGTTTTGAGTTGGGGAAATGTGAATCCTCCTACTTTGTTCTTTTTTTTTTTTTTCCAAAATTGCTTTGACTGTTCAGAGCCCCTTGTAGTCCCATGTAAGTGCGAGAATTGGCTTTTCCATTTCTGCAAAGAAGGCTCTTAAAATTTTGTTGGATGTTGTGTTGAATCTATAGATTGTTTTAGGTAGTATTGACATCTTAACAATATTAAGTCTTCTGATCCATGAGCACAGAATGGCCTTCTATTTATTTAGTCTTTAATTTCTTTCAGTAATGTTTTATAGTTTTCCGTGTACAAGCCTTTCACTTCCTTATTTGAATTTGTTCCCAGATATTTTATTCTTTTAGATGCTATTGTAAATGGAATCATTTTCCTTAATTTTTTTTTCAGATTTCTCATTGCTGATATATAGAAACCCAGCTGACTTTTGTGTATTGACCTTGTATCCTGCTACTTTGCTGGATTCCTTTATTATCTCTAGTAGCTTTCTTGTGGATTTTGTGAGGTCTTCTACATATAGGATCGTGTCATCTGCAAAAAGTGATAGTTTTACCTCTTCCTTCCCAATTTGGATATTTTATTTCTTTTTCGTGCCTAATTGCTCTAGCTAGGACTTCTAGTACAATGTTGAATAGCAGTGGTGAGTGCGGGCATCCTTGTCTTGTTCCTGATCTTGAGGCGAAAGCTCTTGGTCTTTCTCCATTGAGTATGATGCTAGCTGTGGGTTTTTCATAAATGGCATTTATCGTATTGAGGATTGTCCCTTCTATTCCTAACTTGTGGAGTGTTTTTATTATGAAAGGGGTGTTGGATCTTGTCAAATGCCATTTCTGTGTTGATTGAGATGACCCTGTTCATTTTTCAAATGAGGAAACAAAGGCTTAGAAAATCAAGTTGTACAATCTGCTGGTGGCACAGCAGGTACTAGAACTTGGCACTAACACCTGGTCAGGACTTTTTCTTCTGCTCCTGGCTGCTTCCCTTCTAACCGCCCTGTCCCCTTCCTCACAGGCATGGTCCTGGGGACCCTTTTTATTGGGGGCTCCCTCGTGGCTGGACAGCAGCTGACAGGGGGAGACCTCATGTCCTTCCTGGTGGCCTCCCAGACAGTGCAGAGGTGAGTATGGTGCCATTCCCATTCTGAAGGAGCCCCTGCCACCCTCCAGAGCCTTGCTGGGCCAGGGGATGGAGTGCCAGCCTGCTTTCTCAGGCCTACCGCACAGCCTGAGGCCTGTCCTGCTGCCCTGGTGCAGCACAGGGCTGGGAGTCAGAGCCCTGTGTCTCCCACGAGAGCCCCACAGGGATCATAACTATCTCTCAGGCTAACTCACTAAGTGTGTACTCAGAAATGAGGCTGTCATCTTCAGGCTTCCGAACAATGCAGAAATTTCCTTGACCCGTTTTTTAAGAGCGGGCCAAACATCCTCTGTTTGGCTTTTTCCGGGGACAAGAAGCTTATCCCTTTCCCATGCACATTCCACGCTTAGAGCTGGTTGGTTTTCACTGATCTGATATCTGCCTGCTCAGCTGGACCCCACCTGCCCTCTGAAGCAACCAGAGCTGATCGGTTTAGTTTGCCACAAGACAACCTGGGGTGGGCCTCCTTTTACCTCCTTTTTCTCAGGGAAACATTAGCAGTTCTTTTGCTGTTCCTTTTACTTTTTCTTTTCCTCAAACATACCATGTATGTAAAAATTCATAAAACCTATGATAAATAAGTAAAGTGTGAAGACCTGTGTTACCACCAACCAGGTCAAGAAAACAAACATTGCCCTCACCCCAGAAGCCCCTACCTGTCCCTCCCAGTCACCCCCTGCCCTCCCTCTGGAGGCAGTCACTGTCCTGATCTCTGTGGTCATTGCGCCCTTGCTGTGCTCTGCCTTTTACCACCTGTGTGTGTATCAGCAGTTTGTCACATAACCCCTCACCGTCCAGCTTGTCACTGTCCCTTATGAAATGAGGTGAGCCCAGAGATGGTCACATCTCTGAAGAGATTCCCACTCTTACCCCATGCAGACAGACTCCCTTTTTCACCCCCATACCCAACATTCCACAGGAGCAAATCCCATGCATTGCCTTCGGCTGCAATGACACCATCCTAGGCCCCGTTTCTGCTTGATGTTCTCTAATCATGGGACATTCAGGCCTTCCTGGTCCTGGGCAGTCTCACCCCTCCTCCAGCCCAGAAGCTCTGTGTTCCCTTGTGGCTTTGCGATGAAGAGGTTCTGATTGTCCTAGAAATGGAGCTTGGGGTGTCCCTCTGCAGCCCCTGCCCTCCTAGTGCCCACCCAGTGTCTTCTGACAGGCTGCAATTTGGCCTTGTTATCATCGTTTTAGTCCTGAGGACCCATAAGAAACCTACTGTTATTGTGTGCCATCGGGTTGATTCCAACTCAGAGCAAGCCTATGTGACAGAGGAGAACTGCCCCATAGGGCTTCCTAGGCTGTAATCTTTACAGGAGCAGATCGCCAGGGCTTTTCTCCTGCAAAGCCACTAGCGGATTCAAACCACTGACCTTTCGGTTAGCAGCCAGGCATTTAACCATTGCAACACCAGGGCTCCTCTGAAATAGCCCCCGGCCCCCTTAATAAAGTAGCCCTGTGGCCCTCACCTTTGACAGTGGGGGGAACATCTCCCTGTTGTGAGGGAGGGCCTGGGGAGCAGTTGCACTCCCTAGCCCTGGCTTGTGCCCCTCTGGTCCACCTTCCCTTAGAGACCTCAGAGTCAGCTGCCCCCACCATTTCCCCTTGTGGCTTAGCCCAGGCCTGAGGACAGACCTTTCCTCACTTCCCCACCACACTGCTTGGCCAGGGAACGGGATTTGGTGACGGGTGCGAGCACAACCCCGGCAGATAGTCTGTATTGTCTCTCCGGCCGCTAGATGTGACAACTCCTACCGTCACAGGCCCAGTCCCCTCCTTTTGGTGGCCCCTCTAGTTCTGCACAGTCCTGGACCCCTCACTGCATGGAGAGTCTTCACCACTTGGAGGAACTGGGCCTTATTTTGTCAAGAAGATGTATTTTCTTAATAGGTCCTGCCAGTTAAGCAAAAAAAAAAAACCCACTGCCATCAAGTCAATTCCAACCCATAGCGACCCTAGAGGACAGAGTAGAGCTGCCTCATAGGGTTTCCAAGGCTGTAAATCTTTACAGAAGCAGGCAGCCACATCTTTCTCCCGCGGAGCAGCTGGTGGGTTCTGACCACCAACCTCTTGGTTAGCAGCCAAGTGCTTAATCACTGCCAGTGCTGGGGTTCATCAGAGGAGGGTGGGATGAGGAGAGGGGGTAACAAGGCGGGGGGAGCAGAAGTGATAGTAAGGCAGCCCTCCCCCACCTCAGTCAGCCCCCTCTTTGGACCCCATCCTAAGTGTTCTTTTTGTGGCACCAGTGGAAGTACCCACACAAAGCACAGTCACTCCAGCAGTCCCATCAGAACCAGGTCTGGGCACAGCCCTGAGGATGGGGCTGCTGCCCTCTCCCTGCTGGGTTCCTGTGTGGTACCCTGGCCTGTGCTGCCCCCATGAGTCATGTGCATTTTGGTTTTGAGTTGCTGCCAGGCCCCTAATGGCTCCAGAGCTCTTGTGGAGAATGTCCCCCCTTCTTATCCACAGATACCTCTGGATTGGCTCTGTTTGCTCCATGCCTCCATTCTCTTTGGCAAGTGCTGATAACTCAGGCTGCCAGAAACATTTCCTTGCAGGCTTGGTGACTCTTCCCACCCCACCCCAGCCTCGTCTTGGAAGAAATGAGTCCTGCTGCGAGGGATTGCCACAGAGTCAGTCTTTCCTCTTAAAGATAGGGCCCTGCACACACACAGTCACATGCACACATGCTGTCACAGGCCAGCCAGACCACTCAGGGTCTGACTCATCCTTCCCCGGCCTCATGCAGCCAAGCACCCTCTCCCACCCTGCAAGCCGCTGTCTAGACAGATAAACACAAACACCTCATTCCTCACACATAGACACCCTCCTGCAGGCAAGCCTACAGTAAAAAAAAGTCCAAGGAATTGTGTTTGGGGATCCCCCAGAGTTCACCTTTGGTCCAGTGTCTTCTCTGCAAGGATTTAGCCTCAGTGTTGTATACTTTAATGTGAGTGGGCTGAAGTTATAGTCTATCTCTGCGTCCTGTGAGCCAGCCTCTACCCCCTGCAGCCTGTGGCCAGGCCAGTGCTAACACAATCCCCCTGAGGCCCTGTCCCTTCATCCCACACCCATCTTCTCCCTGGAGCCTCACCCCCGGCCTGAAGTAGAATGAAAGCTGTCATCCTTATCTGGCCAAGGATCTCTCCAAGGCCCAGAAAGCAGAAGGGACCTGCCCAGTTAGCCAGTGCCCCTGCAATCCCATATTTGGGGAGAACTCCACGTTTGGCTTCAAGCCACCGGCTTCCTTGCCTCACCCAGCGTGTCCTCCCCACCCAGATGAGAGCCAATGCTCCCTGCAGTGCTGGCCTCATTTCCGCCTCTTGTTCCCACCTCTTCCAACCACGCTGTCCTCCTTGCAGGTCTATGGCCAACCTCTCTGTTCTCTTTGGTCAGGTGAGTGGGAATGGGGGTGGGGGTCCTGAGGGTGGACACTGGGTCTGGGCTGCAGTTCCATGCACCAGCAAAGTTATTTGTGTATTGCAAGATCTGCCCATTGGCTGGTTGTGGGGGAGGCGGAAGCAGGGAATACCTGAGCCACGGACTTCGGCAAATGTGGAGTCTACAGCCTCCTACTTCCCTGCCTGCTGGGGGGCGGGGGCATTCAAGAGATGCCGCTACTGGTCACGCCCGCCCATCTCCCTAGTCCAGGGGCTCCCTTCCCTAGGAGCCCCCCACAAGATGCTGCAGTCCCCACTCCTCCCTCACTGCCAATTTCACATTCCCCCCAGGTGGTACGGGGGCTCAGCGCAGGCGCCCGGGTCTTTGAGTACATGACTCTGAGCCCATGCATCCCCTTGTCTGGGGGCAGCTTCATCCCCAAGGAGGACCTCCACGGGGCCATCACGTTTCAGAACGTCGGCTTCAGGTCAGCACTTGAGCAGGCAGGGACTGCTCCTTCTGGGCTGTGGCCTGGGGGGAGGGTGCCTCGTGGGGGTCCAGTTGAATGCCTCCCCTCTAAATCAGCCCTTTTGAGAGGGCATAGTGAGACTTAGTAGGGACTCAGGAGGTGCCTGGCTTGTGCTTAGCTTCTGCCTGGTTCCACAGAGTCCAGGGCACAGCAAGCAAGGACCCCTGGAGCCTGGTCTGACTTGGGGTTTCTTGGCTTCTCCCCAGTTACCCCTGCCGCCCTGGCTTTGAGGTGCTCAAAGACTTCACCCTGACACTGCCCCCTGGCAAGACTGTGGCCCTGGTAGGCCAGTCTGGGGGAGGTAAGAGAAATCCAGCACCCCCACTGCCACCACCCTTCTCCACGCTCTGGCTGCCCTGCCTCCTGGGAGGAGTCAGCCCCTGCCCTCGGGAACCACCCTGCCCCTCCTGGAAGGGCTCTCCACTTCTACCAAGGGTCCCTCTGTCCTGGAACAACTCTCAGAAACTCTAACAGCCCCTGTCTCCCCAACCCCAACCCTGGTTTCCCCAGGAAAGACCACCGTGGCCTCCCTGCTGGAGCGCTTCTATGACCCCACAGCGGGGGTGGTGCTGCTGGATGGGCGGGACCTTCGCACCCTCGATCCGTCCTGGCTCCGGGGCCAGGTCATCGGCTTCATCAGCCAGGTGGGGAGCAGAGGCCCCCCACAGGGTGGGTCCTCACCAGATGGAGACTCTGGGACGTGTGTCTCGACCTCCCACCTCACCTCTATCTCCCGCCCACCGTCAGGCTGCTCTGGGAGGCCTCTGCCCTTCGCAGGTGCTCCCAGTCCACCTGTCCCAGGGCACCTGCAGCTCTGCCCTCCTCCCTCACAGGGACCAGTGTGAGCAGGTGAGAGGCATCTTTAGGGTAGGACTAGCTTGTTGGGGTCCCTGAAATTCTCTAAGAAGCCTGTGGTGTCCAGAAGGTTTGGAGAAGCCCATGTTTGTGTTCTGGGGACTGTTGGTGGCCACCTCTCACCCCACTGAGAGGACCTGAAGCCCTTGCCCTGAGGTACTGAGGCTCTGGCTGCTTTTTCCTGTTTGCAGTGACACTGCCATGTGTGGTCTCCACTCTTCCCCTTGAGAGGGCCCCTGACCCGCCCATGAGCAGGAGAAAACCTGGATGCCATGCCACCTCCCCCTTCTGGCTGTGCCAGGCCAGCACTCGCTCTCTCAGTCACCTTCCCTTCCAGCTCCCGGGTAATGGGCTACGCACCATGGTGGGAAACACTCACCTTTTCGATGGTCTGGACCATTCTGCATCCATGCCTGACCTTTGTCTTTGAGTTTCTGACTGTCCCTAACTGGCTTCCCAATGACTCTCTTCTGGCTAAAGCAGACACTTCTGATGAGCCTGGCAGCCCTTCGGGTGGCTCAAGGCAGAGTCCGGATGTTTCCTGTTGATATCCCTCCTCCCCACCCCCAGGAGCCAGTGCTGTTTGGAACAACCATCATGGAGAACATCCGCTTTGGGAAGCTGGAAGCCTCCGATGAAGAGGTGTATGCAGCTGCCCGGGAGGCCAATGCCCACGACTTCATCACCAGTTTCCCTGACGGCTATGGCACCATTGTGGGTGAGTGCTGGGGCGGGCTCTGTTCTGGCCCCAGGGCTGCAGAGTGGATGGGGAGAGAGGCGGGATTCTGGGGCAGGTGGGCCGTCTGAGACTCTGGGGCAGAGGGTAGCAAGAACCCCTGGAAGACAGTCGTTGCACCAGACAAGACAAGAGCAGAGCCAAGGGCAGCGGAGCAGTTCTGTGAGACTGGCAAGTCCAAGCCCATGGGCTTCCGTGGCAGAAGGACAGGAGGGCTCTGAGAAGACCTGGAGATGGGGCCAGGAGCACAGACACAGGAAGGTCACCGTATTGAACTCTTCACTGGGCCTAACAGAGAGTTCCATGCCCCAAGAACTGAACAGGAAGAAATGGAGTACTCTCTCTTTGAGGATCTCTCCTCCTGGCTCTTGTTTCCTTCTTGTTCTTTTATTCTTTAGTTTAAAGGTGTAACCTCTTGTTAGACATAGGGATTGATTTGGCTGAGCAAGTCTCTCTTCTGATTTACCCAGAAGAGGGCCCTGGTAGTTCTGGAACATTAAAATGCAATAACATCACACTGTAGAACATTCATATTGCAGCTTGCAGCTTTATGTGTTTATCACAGAAGTCTTTTTTTAACCTTTGGGGCCATGTTTATCGTACAGTGTTTCTTGGCTTAGCTACAGAATGTTCCAGTGCGTCTCAACATGCAGGAATATATGGAGTTCTCAGCTCCTATAACTTGGCTTCAGTCTAGCTCACCCTCAGCCTTCCCACCACCATCTTTAGCCTGTCCTCAGATTCTGTATTCCTAACCAGTCTTTGTAAGTGAGGGCTTGCTGTGTGCATGGCCACGTGTCACACTGTGGAAGAGCGTGTGTGCTCCTTTGCACAGGGACATGGGGTCAGGCAGCTGGCAGACAGATCCCTGCCTTCAGAACTCCTGACCTGGCTGGAGGGCACAGTGCCGTGGGCCTGAGTGGCCGGGCTCAGGAAGGACACGGTGCCCCTTTGCAGGGCACCGTCCAGGGCAGACCAAGGCTCACTCCAGGCCCCTGGCCTGTCCCCTTCCTTCCCAGGCGAGCGGGGCGCCACCCTGTCTGGTGGCCAGAAGCAGCGCCTGGCAATTGCTCGAGCCCTCATCAAGCAGCCCACAGTGCTGATCATGGATGAGGCCACCAGTGCACTGGACACAGAGTCGGAGGGCGTCGTGCAGGAGGCCCTGGACCGGGCCAGCGCAGGTCGTACTGTGCTGATCATCGCCCACCGGCTCAGCACTGTGCGTGGGGCCCACCACATCGTCGTCATGGCTGACGGCCGGGTCTGGGAGGTCAGTCTGGGCTGAGGGGCTGACAAGTTTGGCTGTGTGTAGGGGGAACAGGTGCGTTGGCTGAGCTGAGTGAGGGTCTGGCCTGGCCCTTGGGACTAGGGGCCATATTCTGGAAGTGGCACCCCATGTGGATTTGGGAGCCTCCATTTCTTCCTCTCTTCCCTGGGGATAGTACACCTGCCCCATCTGCTCCTAGGATAAAAAGGGAAAGTCCTCAAAGAAGTATGCAGTGTTGTGGAAGGGCATGGGGCCAGGCTGGCAGCCCAGGGGCTGAGGGGTGCATGGGGTAGCACTGGGGACCCTCTCAGGGACCAGGTAGGCAGAACCTAAGAGGCTGGTCTGCAGCGGGGCTTGGAGGCTGCGTAGAGTTCAGCATTGGCTCCTGGCCCAGCCAGCCCCCATCAAGCCAAAGCCGAGGGGGTTTGTGTTGGGGTCCTGTGAGGTACATGGGTCTTAAAGAGACTCCGGGGCCCTGAGTTGGAGTCTCTGGGCTCTGGACAGGAGACGGAATCAAATGCCCTTCTAAAATTCAGCAAGGCAGGGAGCGGGCAGGAACAACGGGAGATGGGCCTTTACGCCTATGTGCTGGTTTCATGGTATCCCAGCAGGGACGCCAGCCTGCATGATGGTGAGTCCTGGGCCAATGAGAAGTACAGCCCCACTAGGGCTCTCAGCTCTGAGCTGGGCTGGGCCGTGGAGTGGCTGGGTGGGGGTGACAAGCTGCCCCTCTTTCTTCCAGGCCGGGACCCATGAAGAGCTCCTGAAGAAGCGTGGGCTCTATGCTGAGCTCATCCGGAGGCAGGCCCTGGAGGCTCCGCTTACATCCACTCCACCCCTGGAGAAGCCAAAAGGTCCCAGGAATCGCCACCCCTAGGCCTGAGAACAGGCAGCAGCAGAAGCGGTCTTGACTGCGGAGCAACAGTGCCGGGCAGGTGGGGCCGGCCAGCCAACAGTGGAGCCCCCAAGGGACTGAGCCCCCAGGGCCCGTGCACTCCACCTACTCACAATAAAACCTGGCGGGCAGCTGGGCTGGGGGCGCTTGGGATCGCTCCCATCCACTCCCCTCCTGCTGCCAGGCTCCTGCCTCCCCCCAGAGCCTGAGCATCATTGTGCTGCAAAAGGGTGGAGTCAGAGTCTGCTGAGCCTTCTCCCTCTCCCTGTCAGGCCCCAGCTCCAGGGGATTTTTAAAAGTCAGGGTCTGGGAGTGGGTGTTGGAATTTAGACCTAGGGTTTTTCTGCACCGCAAGTCCACCCTGGCTAGGACCTCATTGTCCTATAGTGGAGACTGACTCCCTGACATCCTCCAACTCGTCGGCCCATAACTTCCCTCTGCTCCATTAGCATAGCCTGATTTCTACAGTTCACCCTACCCCTACCCCCAGACCAGTGAGAACTGCTGCAGCCTCAGTACCCCCTACACCCCACCCAAGCGGGACATAGGCCCAACACTGCCTGGCTCTTCGCAGGGTAGGGGGTGCCCAAGCCCCAGTAGACACTCCTAGCTTGCCCCTGCCCCGTGCACCTCAGGTCTCTCCCCTGGCGAGGTTGTAGGCCAGTCTCCTGTCTACATGGAGAGAACACAGCTCTGAAGAAAACAGAGGACCAGACACACACCCCAAACTCAGCCACGTGGGGCATATAGTGCTCATAAGTGCAGACAAATGGAGCGGTTCATGCCCACCCCCTCGCTGCTGGGACACAGTCGCATCGAGAAAGAGCGGTCACTGCCAGGCTGCCTCCCCAGAGTGGTCAGGGAGGGCTCTGGAGTGGGCAGGGAGACAGCCCAAGTGACACACACCTGTGTCCCCAGAGCTGTGGGTGAGGCTGTGGCTGGGCTCCAGGCTGCTGCTGAGAGGACCCAAAGGGCCCAGTGGAAGGCCCTATGCAGGGCAGCTTCGTGTACCTGTGCTGGCCCGCGGAGCACCAGCCTCCCAGTTTGCCCCAGAGCCTCTGCCTTTCCTGCTTGGCTCTGGTCATGTCACCTTCCACTGGGAAGCCTCTGCCAATTCAGAGCCACTTCCCGTGTGTGGCACAGTGGTTAAGAACTCGGCTGTTAATCAGAAGGTTGGCAATTCAAATCCACTGCTTGGAAACCCTATGGGGCAGTTCTACTCTGTCCTGTAGGTTCCCTATGAGTCGCAGTGGACTCGATGGCAACGGATTAGGTTAGGTTTCCATGTGAATGACCACACTGCGCCCTGCCCACCACGGTAGCGGGAGAGGGATTGCCTGTGCCTGATCTTCAAGGCCTGCCAAGCATTTCAGATTTTGTCCTGTGGCAAAAGAAGGGCAATGCCATGTTGCAGTGAGGCTGGTCTGGCAGCAGTGTGCTGGACAAAGCAGGGACTGTTGGGGACTGGGAGGCCAGCCTGGAAGAGGCAGCAGTGGTGACTCAGGTGTGAGTGCTTGAGCTGGGGTAAGAGTCCCAGTTTCTGGGACGTGTGGTTTAGATGCTACTTTGGGACCAAACCACCTAAAATCTCCCAGGGCCACAGCCACCCCGGTCTGATATCCTGCTTCCAGACTGATGAGAGGTTGCCCAGGGAGCAGAGCTTGGGGCTGGCTCTGGCTGCGTTGCCACTAAACACCTCCCTAGTGCAGCTAAGCAGGGCCTCTGCTTCCTGGCCCAGTCAGCAGGCCCCTCCCTCCTGCTTCACCAGCTAGCTCCCACCATCCAGGACATCTGACATCAGATTTGAAGTCTCTCCTTACACCCTGGGGGAGGGGGGTGGAACAAATCCTGTTCCCCCTCCACCCACCAGGGAAGTAGCAAAATTCCATGGAAAGTCTCGTACTGGAAAGCCAGCACCAGCTCTCAGTGCTCTTGCTATGTAACCTTAACCTCTCAATCTTGGCTCCTCCGGCTGTTCAGTACAGATAATCCTGTCTGGACTTAAGCTTGAAAGCTTGTTTTAAGAATGTAGATGGGATAATCTACATGAAAGCACTTCTTGAAAAATCATAATGCTGCAGCCTTGGAAGGTGGTCCCATCTGCATGATAAACCATGTTATTTACTCATTCCTTTAAACCTGTTCTGTACCACGGAGCCTGCAGTGGGGACTGAGGCATGCCCTGGCCCCATGCAGCACGAGGAGTTGTGACAGAGGGGTAAGGCTCCTTTGATGGAAGCATGCTGTTTCTTCCACTCAAGGTCAAAAAGCCCACCAAAGTGAACCTGGCTGGCTCAAATACTTTTTGGGAGGAGATGGGGTAGAAATAAATTTCAGCAAATAAATTAATGGAGATAAGCCTGCTTTCTCTTGGGCTCACAGTGGAGCTTCTCAAAAGACCCATATACACAGAGCGTGTGAATAAGTCAACATAGAGCTTGAGGCTGACAAGGCCCAGGTCCTGACACTGTGCCGCCCTCTGGAAGGACATTTCTAAATTGGCCGGCTCCCCAGGCCCCAAGCCAGGCAGCCAGCCCTTCAGTTCTGAAGCTGCCTGACCCTCTTGCTGCTGCCCCAGGTCCCCTGCACCTTAGATGAATGAGCAAGACAGCCTTGTCCCTCTTCAGGCCACGTGGCACTAACCTTGCACACTGCAGCTCTGCTTTCTGGAGGTCTCTGCTCCAGCCACTGGGAGTCCTCCCTCAGCCCCAACCCATCTTCTCTGGGTCATCTGAGGTTTCTTCAGTCAAATGATGTGCTGGCTCTGCCCTCTCAAGGCCAGGTTTTTCACACTGCTAGGCACTGTGGCCCAGGTATTTCTAGCAGCCTGTCCCTGGGCTTCCTAAGCTTGTACAAGGACACAGCATCTCCTCCTTTAGAAAAGCCAGTGCAAAACAGGCATGCTTCTATGTTATTGATAGGAATGTAAGATGGTGTCACTCCTATGCAGGTGAGTTTTGTGATAACCTATCAAATTACCAGTGCAGTTGCCTTCTGACCCAGCAATTCTATTTCTAGGAGTTTGTTAGTTTCCTAGGGCTGCTGTAAACAAAGTACCACAAACTTGAGTTACTGATAAAAACAGAAATTTATTGTCTCACAGTTGTAGAGGCTAGAAGTCCAAATCAGAGTATTGGCTGTGTTGATTTCCTCCCGAGGCTTTGAGGGAGAGTCTCTTCCATGTCTCCCTCCTAGCTGCTGGTAGCTCCCAGTGTTCTCTGGCTTGCTGCAGCATCACTTGAAGTCCTTCCTCTGACTGTTTCTCTGTGTATCTTCTTTTTTATAAGGACACCAGTCATTTAGGAATAGAACCCATCCTACTGCGGTATGACCTCATATTCACCGAACTGATACCTTCAAAGATCCTATTTCCAAACAAGGTCATGTTCACAGGTACCAGGGGTTATAACTTCAGCGTATCTTTTTAGGGGACACGATTGAATCCATAATAGTTTACCCTCTGTCCCCCAAAATTTGTGTTGTTCCCATGTGCAAAATACATTCACCCCATCCCAGCATCTCCAAAAGTCTTAACCCATTCCAGTATTAACTCTAAATCCAAAACCTAATCTAAATCAGGTATGGGTGAGACTCTGGGTATGGTCCATCCTGGGGCAAAATTCCTTTTCTTGGAGGACAAGAGATGTTTGCAGCCAAGCAGCTCCATCAGCCTGTTTCCTGCCTGTAGAATTCCAGAAACTGGACAGCTTTCCTTCATTTCATCCTGTTCATTTCTCTGTTCCCTTCAGTCTAAGCTGATAATGTTTCTGCTGAGATGTTTGGTGGGATCCATAAATCACACACCTAATCTCTTTAGCAAATTGTCCAGCCACACCCTTGCTTTCTCTCCGGACCATGTTTTCTCAACAAATATAGATAGGCCAAGAATTCTCCAAATTTTCAATCTCTGGTTCCTTTTTGCACAGTTCATTTCTGAACTTCTCTCTTTCCACTCACATTTTACTATAAGTAGCAAGGAGAAACCAGGTTGTGCCTTCAACATCTTGCTTAGAAATCTCCTTGGCTAAATATCTACGTTCATCACTTACAACTTCTACTTCCCACAAAACATTCAAACATAATTCAGCCAAGTTCTTTGCCAGTTTATAACAAGGATCACCTTTCCTCCAATGTCCAATAACATGTTCATCATTTCCTTTTAAGGCCTCACCAGAAGCATATTGAAAGTACACATTTCCAGCAACATTCTGTTCATGAGGCTAGGAACTTTCTCTACAGCTCTTCTCACTGCTTTCTGAGTCCTCACCAGAACCACCTTTAATGTCCATAATCCTATGAACAGTCTCTTCAACCTAGGCTTTTACCATTAAGTGCCTCAAAACTCTTCCAGCCTCTACCCATTATCCAATTCCAAAATCACTTCCACATTTTTAAGTATTTGTTACAGTAGTACCCCACTTTCCAGTACCAATAAACTGTATTAGTTTCCTAGGGCTACCATAACAAAATACTACAAACTACGTGGCTTATAAGAACAGATATTTATTGCTGCATAGTTCTGGAAGCTAGAAGTCCAAATCAGGCTATCGGCCATGTTGGTTCCTTCTGAAGCTTTGATGGAGAATCTGTTCCATGACTCCCTTCCACTTCTGGTAGTGCCAAGCATTGCTTGGCTTGCAGCTGCAGCATCACCTAGCATCCTTTTTCTGTCTCTGTGTGTCTTTTCCTCTTTTATAAGGACACCATTCATATAGGATTAGGACCCACCCTATTCCAGTATGACCTCATAGTAACTGATAGTATCCTCAAAGACTCTATTTCCAAACAAGGTCATGTTCACAGGTACCAGAGATTAGGATTTCAACATGTCTTTCTGGAGGACACAATTCAATCCATAACACTGCACAAGCATATAAAGACATCTGTGCAATGGAACTGACCAAGCATTGCTTGTAATAGAAAGACTAGAAGCTCTCAGTGTTCAAGAGGAGGAGTGGTTAAATAACTATGATACATTCACATGACAGAATGGTGTCTTAGGGTTCTCTAGAGAAACAGAACTAGTGAGATATAGAGATAGATATATAGGGATTGATTTACTTCACAAAACCCGGGGGCTGGCAAGTCCAAAATCTGTAGGTCAGGCAGCAGGCTGGAGACTCCCGCCTTGTGTCCCAAGATCCATAGGTCATGTGATAGGAAGAGTGCAGAGTCAGGAGACAGAGAGACAGAGTTTTCCAGAGTATTTATTTATAGTCTGGGGGCAGACCACACCTTAAGGAAACCCCTGTTTCAACTGATTGACCGATTGATTACATAAGATTAAATTATGAAAGATGATTACACTGTGGAACAGGAACTAGTCTAGTGTTTGGTCAAACCACTGGGAATCATAGCCTAGCCAAGTTGACATATAAAATTAACTATCACAAATGGTATGCAACCATTAAAAAAAAAAAGGAAGTTCTTCAGGTACTGATGTCACAAGGTATTCAGAATATCTCATTAAGTGAAAAGAGTAAGATGTCAAACAGCGTGGCTAGGTGTACAGCATGCTACCCTTTGGGGTTAGGAAGAGCTCCCCTGTTGACAATGACTACCGGGCTATGGAATTCTCACCTTGGGCTGCCTCCGTCTTCAAGGAAGCCGAAGAGGGTTGGGACAGGGCTAGGAATGAAACAGGCAATTAGAAGGGGCAGGCCCAGACTGTAAGGGCTGTGATGGAGAAGTTGGTGGGTGGATGCTCCAAGCTAGGATGGAATTGGGATGGTGATGGAGTGTGGGGACAAGCCTGAGGTGGTGGGTGAGGGGCTGCATCCACTGAATGACCAGGCACTGAGGGAATCCTGAGATGCTAGTATCACAAGAGTAAGGAATTCAGCAGGGGGCCTTCCTAGACCCAGAGGAAGCTAGCCAGGGCACCATAGGCACAGGCCGCATGGCCAGACCAGGCAGGAGCTGGCCCCACAGAGGCTCAGACAGCATTCTTGGCCCATCCGAGGGGTTCAGCACACCTAAGCCAGGATGAAATTGGAGGTCCCTGGGGTCTCAGGGCTTCTCTCTTTTAAAGTTAGTTTTATTTATTTTTTAAACATGTGAGACGTTCACATGGTTCAAAAATCGAAACAATATGAAAAGGTAAACATAGAAGCCTCACTCCCACCCCTGCCCTGTCTTCCCTGGTCCCCACAATTCCCACAGAGTTACTTTCATTTCTTGGTTCCTTCCCACACATACGAACGCAATACAAGCAAATCTGAGTATATATTATCTTTTTTTTACCCTTTCTAAGCCCAAGAAGTAGCACATTGTACACACTATTCCATGTCTTACTCTTTGGGCAAAGGCAGCTTCAGTTAGTAGGCGCCATGTGACCTGGGACAGGTCAGCCCCCAACTCCGTCACTGTGGTCAAGAAGGCCTCCCCAACAGGAGGGCCTGAGGAGGGGGAGGTGGGGTCTGACTTCTCAGGGAGATAGGGTCACTCAGGAGACAGACAGGCCGTGGACACAGGAGCTGGAAGAAGCCCTGACTGCCCGAGGCATTCTAGGACCTAGGGGGCACAGAAAGAGGAGACTCAAAGCTAGTGCCAACTTCCCACCACTCTGCAGCTTGGACAGGAGCCAGCCCCACCCTTCTTGAAAGAACAAATGATCCTGGGTGAAGTGAGTGGGAAGGGGGGAGACAGAGGAGACAAGAGGGGCTGGGCCTGGGTCAGGGACTGGTCCTCAGGCCTCACACAGGTGCTGCCACTGTGAGCCTAGACAGCCTGAAGGCACCCCCAGCCCCAACTTACCTCTGGGCTCACCTCAAGCCCTCACCATTGCTGCCGTTTCCTCCTGGCGCCTCTGATCTCCAACAGCATGCCCCCACTATGCCGCACTAATGGCTCAGCCTGGGGCCCCAGGGATCTCGCCCTGCAGACTGCTCTGCCAGCCCCCTGACCCCCCTCACTGCTGAAACCCAATCCTCTGCAGCAGCTCTGGCAGCACTACCTTGGCAGAGCAGCCCCTGCTTGCCACAGCTGACTGTGCTGCGGAGCCTCGTGAAGCCACAGCCCGCTCCTGGGGAAGCCCACCCGGACCTCATCCACCCCACCAGGCCAGTGCCTCCCGCTTGGCTGCTCTCCTCTGACCCTCTCCTCCCTTTGCCTGCCCTGCAGTGACCCCTGCCTGGCCACCTGAGTCTTGCCTCAGTCCTTCTGGCCCTGGGACTGACCCCACATCACTCTTTCCAGCCCTCTGGGTCTTATTCCCCAAGCCACAGTCATGAAGCCCACCTCAGGGCCAGAGGTGGCCCCACGGCCGGCCTCTGACATTCGAGCGTTCGCCAGCAGCTGCACGCTGCACGGCCTGGGCCATGTCTTTGGCCCGGGGGGTCTAACCCTACGCCGGGCACTGTGGGCTGCGGCCGTGCTCCTGTCGCTGGCTGCCTTCCTCTACCAGGTGGCTGAGAGGGTGCGCTACTATGGGGAATACCACCACGAGACAGCTCTGGATGAGCGGGAGAGCCACCAGCTCACCTTCCCGGCCATCACCCTGTGCAACATCAACCCGCTGCGCCGCTCGCGCCTCACACCCAACGACCTGCACTGGGCCGGGCCCGCACTGCTGGGCCTGGACCCTGCTGAGCACGCTGCCTTCCTGCGTGCCCTCGGCCGGCCCCCTGCCCCACCCGGCTTCATGCCTAGTCCCACCTTCGACATGGCACAGCTCTACGCTCGGGCTGGGCACTCCCTGGATGACATGCTGCTGGACTGCCGCTACCGTGGCCAGCCCTGCGGGCCAGAGAACTTCACTGCGGTGAGCTTCCAGCCCTGCTCAGGTGCCTCCTAAAGTCAGACCCTAAGTATGCTCTGCCCAGGGATCCCTTCCCTTCCGGCTAGGCCAAGTTCTCCCTACCCTACCAATGCCTTTCTGTTCAGCCCTGGAAGCTGTCTTCCTTGGGACCGTCCCTGTCACCCAGCAGACTGCAATGTACAAGGCCAGGCCTCCCAGCATCAGGCACTGGTCCAAGCTGGCTCTGGGCCCAAGCTCTGGCCTGTGAAGACCCTGCTCCTGGAGAGGGCTCTCTAGAGGAACTGTTCTGGGAAAGACCCCTCTCTCTGCCAGGGGCAAAGAGGACAACTGGGACACACTTCCTTTTAGTGCAACCTTCAGCCAAAGAACCACTTGCCCTGCAGGCTGTGCCCTGGGTTGTGTGTGTGTGGGAGCCTAGGGGTGGAGGAGGGGCTGGAGTGATGGGAGCCCATGAGGGTCCAACTTTGTGTGCCTTTATGAGTATGGGACTAGGGGGACTGAAATGTAGGCTTCAGTGTTCAAAGAGACCAAAGAGAGAAAAGGGACAGGAAAGGCTCCCAGTCCATGGGTTTGCATGGTGTCTCACCCCCTGGTGCAACCTGGCCACCTGTGTGCCCACCAGCAGATCTTCACCCGCATGGGTCAGTGTTACACCTTTAATTCCGGTGCTGACGGAGCCGAGCTTCTCACCACTTCCAAGGGAGGGGCGGGCAACGGGCTGGAGGTCATGCTGGACGTGCAGCAGGATGAGTATCTGCCCGTGTGGAGGGACAGGGGTAGGGGCTCATGCATGAAGGGGAGTGCACAGAGGGGAGCGGGGCTCTGGGAAGGACATGAGGGAGGAGGTGCCCGGGAAGGGCACCTGAAGCATGTTCCTTTCCTGTGAGAAGGGGGCAGGAGTGGTTTGCGCAGGCCTGGGGAGAGGGGCTGTCTTGCCTGCTTGGGGCCTTTGGCCTCACGGGTGATTCCCCGCAGAGGAGACTCCGTTTGAGGTGGGTATACGAGTGCAGATCCATAGCCAGGAAGAGCCGCCCATCATCGACCAGCTGGGCTTTGGGGCAGCCCCCGGCTACCAGACCTTTGTGTCCTGCCAGCAGCAGCAAGTATCCTCACCTGTCCCTCCAGCACCTCCCAAGGATCCAACCCAACCCCCTCCCTTCAGCTCCACACCCTAGGGCCTCCGCCCCACAGGAAACCTCTCACAGTTCTACCTGGGTTCTTCTTCCAGACCCTTCCTTAACCCTGTCCCTCCACAGCTGAGCTTTCTGCCACCACCCTGGGGCGACTGCAGCTCCGTGTCTCCAGATCTCGACTTAGAGCTGGAGCCTTCTGGTCCCCTGGGTTCACCTAATCCTAGCCCAGGTCCCAGCCCTCCCTATAGCCTAATGGGTTGTCGCCTGGCCTGTGAGACTCGCTACGTGGCTCGGAAGTGTGGCTGTCGAATGATGCATATGCCTGGTAAGGGGCTGGGGCGGGGTCCGTACCTCTGGGGGGTCAGTGAGCCCTTGGGCAGCTCCTGAAGCTCTGTCTCCTCTCCGGCCCTCTTCCCCAGGCAGCGCGCCTGTGTGCAGCCCCCAGCAGTACAAGGACTGTACCAACCCGGCCCTGGGTAAGGGCACCCCTCCCTCGCCTCCAAGTCCCACCCTGCGCGGCCCTGACCTGGCTCGTCTCGCCGCCAGACGCCATGCTGCGGAAGGACGCGTGCGCTTGCCCCAGCCCGTGCGCCAGCACGCGCTACGCCAAGGAGCTCTCCATGGTGCGGATCCCGAGCCGTGCCGCCGCCCGCTACCTGGCCCGAAAGCACAACCGCAGCGAGGCGTACATCGAGTGAGCAGGGGCGCTGCGGGCGGAGGCAGGCTGGAGCGCGGTGCGCACCCCGGGCTCACACTGGTCTCCACACTCAGAAGGGGTTTTGGGACTTTGGACAAGATGCCCACCCCTGTCTCTTTTGAAAACCGGGGTGGTAACGCCCCCGTCCCAGGGTCCTTGAAAGGTGGCGGCGGTTTGAGAACCTGCATCTGTCTCCTCCCAGCAGCTGGCCCAGCAGGCGGTCAGTGAGCATTCCTGGCCTTCCTTTCCTCTAGAGAGAACATGCTGGTGCTGGACATCTTCTTCGAGGCCCTAAATTACGAGATGGTGGAGCAGAAAAAGGCCTATGAGGTGTCGGAGCTTCTTGGTGTGTGCGCATGCAGGCTGCCAGCCGAGTCTGGGGAGGTGTGGGCAGCAGGTGCTGTGAGGCGACCACCACCCTATCTCCGCAGGTGACATTGGGGGCCAGATGGGGCTGTTCATCGGGGCCAGCCTGCTCACCATCCTTGAGATCCTAGACTACCTCTGTGAGGTGCGCCAGGGCCCCAGTGGGGGCAGGGGGTACATAGGCCACAGGAAAGAGGTGCAATGGCCACTTCCCCTCCTACTTGCCCCCAGGTGTTCCGAGACCGGGTCCTGGGATATTTCTGGAACCGCAGGCGCTCCCAGAGGCACTCCAGCACCAATCTGGTAGCAACTCCTTCTTCCACTCACCTCCACCCCCGTGCTGCTCCCAATGCGGGTGCTCAGCCCTTTCTTTGCCCCTTTTTCTGACAGCCTAGAACCATCCCTCTCCAGCTGAGACGCTGTCCGGCTGGAAGGGGTGTGCAGTGAACTTGGCTGGTGGCTGGGAGGGGTGTGCAGTGAACTTGGCTGGTGGCTGGGAGGGAGGACGCCCTCCTGCCCCTGAGCCTCTCCTCCTCCCACAGCTGCAGGAAGGGCTAGAAGGCCCTCGAACCCATGTTCCCCACCTCAGCCTGGGCCCCAGGTAACTAGAAATGGCCCCTGAGGTCAAGGGAGGAGGGGCAGGCCCAGTCCAGGAGGGAAAGGGTGTGAGCAGAACAACATTGTGAAGGCCTGCCCCACTGGTCTGTCTCTCACCAGGCCTCCCACCCATCCCTGTGCCGTCACCAAAACCATTTCTGCCTCCCACCGCACCTGCTACCTGGTCACACGGCTCTAGACTGGCGTCTCTGTCCTCAGGGCCCTGACATGCCTAGCTTGCACATGTGCTTGCCATCTGTATTCTAAATAAAGTGCTAATACTCTCATCTCAGTGTTCCTCTGACCAGGCAGACTCGTCAGGCCAAAGCCAGCCCTGCTCGGCCAGCCTGCTCCAGCCCATCACGGTATCTGGGAAGTGGGGTTGGGCCACAGTTAACCACCATAGACCTCTCTGGGAGAGGAGACACAGTAACAGGGGATCAGCCACTGGCCCCTCAGTGTGACTGTGTCTGTCAGACTAACATCTCAGAGAACAGAGGACAGGCATCCTCACAGCACAGGTGGGAAGGGCATAAGGGTCAAACTGGACAGTCCCATTGAATTCAGACTGGGCGATAAGGCGACAGCTGGAGAAAGGCTCAGAAAGAAATGGGCAAGAGGCAAGGAGCAGAGGGGCTGTTCCAGTTCCAAGAACACAAGCTGTCATCCTACCTTGGAAGATCCAGACTCCTTCCCGCATGTAGGACCAAAAGCCCACAGCAGTCGTCTCCACAGGCAGAGCTGTTGCGTCCCCAACCTCCCCACTCTGGTACAAAGGCCCTAGCTTGAGACAGGTGGGGTTGCCCTCCCAGGAGGGACACACCCAGGCCCTGCTCCCTTTCTTTACATCCCAGATGTTGGAAAAGGGGCAAATAAAGGAGCAAAGGAGGGGAGGCCCTGATATAACCACAGAGCCTGCAGGCCTGGGTATGGGTGGGGACGCAAATGGGAGGGTCATGAGGGTACACACGGGATATGGAGACCACAGGAAAAGCACAGCCTCTTTCTCCCCATTCTGGTGGAAGCCCATCCTCACTCTCAGACACTGGCCACAGAGCCCCTCAGCAAGGCTCAGGCCCCGCTGGTGGTGGGAGCAGGGTGCCCGTATGAGCACAGACACACACGTGGGGCCAGCCCTGCCCCAGCCCACGGGTGTGACAGTAGTTTCCAGCCCCATCTCAGACCACTTAGAGGAGAGGATCAAGGAATGGATGATTCGGTTGTTTGTGAGCTGGGAGCAGAGTTGGGGAGACCCCCCCAGCTAAGCCCACCTCCCCTTCAAAGTCAACCATATCAGCCAGACTATGGGAAAGGAGCTGATTTATGAAATTAAATAAAGTCCATGGAGGGAGTGAAGAATCCAGGCAGGGCGCCTCCACCCTTGCTAGGCCCAGCACAGCTGGAGCCCTAGTGCTTCATGAACCCTCGCCTCCCTCCCCTCCCCAGAGGGGCTTAAATAGGCCAGGCCCCAGCCTGGCACCAGGGGTCCTGGAGCCTAGGGCGGACAGAAGTCAGAGAAGTAGGGATGTTGCAGGGCTTCTTCTGCTGAGATGCGCTGGACAGGGTTACACTTGAGGAGGTTCTGAAAAGAGGGAAGGATGGCGGGGGTCAGCTCCCAGAGCCTGCCCACCCTCAGCCCGCCAATGAGCGCGCTGACCCATCCTACCCCTGACTCCTGCCTCTCACCTGCAGCAGGTCCCTCCCTGTGGCGTTGAGCTTTGGCACGACGTTCACCAGGGATGTGGTGGCCGGGTACATCGGGTAGGGCTGTGGAGGGGCAGGGAGAGTCAGGCCCAGGAGCCTGGGGCCTGAGGGGATTGGAGGTTGCCACCCCTCCCCCCCACGGCCTCACACCTTATAGTCCGGCAGCTTGGTCATGGCGGGCCACTGCTCCTCAGTGGGCGTCCCCAGCAGCGTGTCCACGTGGTCAAGGATCACTCAGCTGGACAGGGGTGTCTGCCTCTTTGGGGGCAGCAGGAGCGGCCGCTTCTCCCTGAGAGGGCTCCTCACACTCACCCTCACTCTGCCCAGCCCAGGACTGGAGCAGGCCCCTCACAATCAGCCCCCCTGCACAAAGTTTACAAGGGGCCAGGCACTTTACAAACGCTAACTAATTTAACCTAAATCCTGAAGTCTGTACCCTTGCCCTACTCCCACAAAAAGCCGCTGGCCCTCAGGATTCAGCTCTCATCTGGAAGCGTATCCTCTTGGCTTCTTCCTGCAGATGACTCCTAGCCTCCTGCTGCCTGGGTAGGTCTGCATGGGACAATCTGGTGGTTCCACCACCTGCTCCCCACCCTCACACACGGGAAAAGCCTGGCACCCAGCATCTTGGCCCCGCCCCTCAGCCCCTGTACTCTGAGCTCCTGGGCTGAGTCCACTTCCAGAGGCTCAAAGCGAAGGGCACTGGCAGGATATCTGAAGATCCTCTTCAGCTGGTCATCTACATCGTTGCCAGGGAAGAGGGGCCGCCCAGCATTGGCCAGCTCTGGGAATGGGGGAGGGGGAGAACAGGTGACACATGAAGAAGCCCTCACTCCACTGGCACCCTCTGCACCTTCTCCCCATCCCCAAGCGTCCCATTCCCTTCCCCAGAAAAGACCCTCCAGACCTTATCTGTCAACCTAAATTGGAAAGAAAGTACCTCGGCAGACCCCCTAGCATGTCACCTGCAAAGATGCAGCCGGCTGACCACATGTCGATGGATGTGGAGTACAGCTTGGCCCCAAAGAGGACATCTGGTGGGCGGTACCACAGCGTGACCACCTGGAGAAGACACCACCCACAGGGACCCCCACTTAGAGGGCTGGGGAGGAAGCTCCAGGAGGAGACGGCTCAGAGAGGAGAGAAAAGGTATGTTTGGGTCCTGGCGTTGGGGCTGAGAGGTGCTCACTGGGGATCCCCTCCCCACCCTATGGCTGCAGCTCACCTCAGCTGAGTAACAGCGAACGGGAATCCCAAAGGCTCGAGCCAACCCAAAATCAGCCAATTTCAGCTCCCCATTCTGAGGGGAGATGAGAAGAGGATATAGAGAAGACTTTTTGGATAGTCTCAGGACAGGCTCCCTCCCTTTAGGCCCTACCCCCACCAGCCTCCCACCTTGTCCCCTGAGAAATACCCTATTTATGAGCAGGTTCTGGGGCTTCAGGTCTCTGTGCAGCACATTGCGGCTGTGACAGAATCCCAGGCCTTTTAGCAGCTGGAAAAGGAATGACTGGGGAGGAGGAGAGTCACATCCTGGTAGGAAGCTTTGTCCAGCAATGGATCGAGTGCCCATCCCCACCCCCGCTGCTTTGCCTCTAATCTACCCTACACTTCCTTGCCTATCTAATCCCCACACTTACTCACCCACTCACGACATCATTCATTCATCAATGAGGACCTACTTTGGACCGTGCAGGGTATTAGGAGCACAAGAGCGAAACAAGCTGGCCCTGGTCCCTACCTTTACGTTACTTACAGCCAAGTGGGCCCTCCCACTTGCCACCACATGGACCTCTCCCCTACCTGGGTCACCTGAACACAAACATTTTAACCATCAATAGGTATCTTGTGCTCTATGATTCAGCACTTGGTTCCCCTAGAACCAGGGAGAAGGCAATTGGTCTTGGGCCTACAACAGTGCCTGGCACACAGCAAAGCATTCAATAAATATTTGTTGACTGAATGAATGTATCTCTTTGAGCCTTGGTTTTCTCATCCCTCAAGTGTAAATAATAATCAGATTGCTACTCTGTGGGCCCAGTGAGGCCATGTGAAAATGCTGGCTAAGCCTGGAGGCTCGGAGAGCAGGAACAGCGGGTTCTCATCTTTTCCATCCTGGAGGGTCCCTGCTTAGGCCCAGAACTGGTGCTCAAAGAGCACTTACACTGAAGATTGACTCCAGCCCCAGCCTCAGTGAGTGCCCAGGACCCCACCCCCCTCACCTTCACAATTTCAGGGTCCAAGTCACCATTGCAGCTATCGAAATACTTCTTCAAGTCCTAAAAAAAGGATGAGGTGGGGAAGTAGGGCAGAATCTCAGCCTCAGTCTGTGCCCTTATACCAACCCCTCCAAGCTACTGTCCCCCAGATCCCCACTTCACCTGGTCACAGAACTCAAAAACCAAAGTCAGCTTCTTGTCACTATGCAGGACGTCATGGAGCCTGGGGAGAAGGAAGGGCCCAGCTAGGCAGATGCATTAGGTTAGGCCTAATATCCCAATATCAGCCCAGTCCAGCTCTGAAACCCCACCCTCCTCCAATAGCCACACAGGCAAGAGAAAAACCTTGCCTGTTTACACACCTGACAATATTCTTGTGCTTCAGCTCTTTGAGTAGGCAGATTTCCCGAAGGGCGGAACTCGGCACTCCCTGTATATGGGAGGGAGCCAGGGCAGTCAGTCAGATCCCACCCAGCCTAAGCCCTCACCCTCCTCTCTGGCCCTGGTGCTTCAGTCCTACCTCATCATCGTCATCCAGCCTCACCCGTTTCAGAGCCACGATCTCATGAGTCTCCCGGTTTTTGGCCTTGAACACTGTTCCATAGGTACCTAGGAGAAGGAGGTCAGGTGTGCAAGAAGGTTTGGGGCACCCTTCTCCACCTAAGAAATCCCTCCCAGGAGGGGAGGCAACATCTGAATGTGTTATTTCTGATGCCCAGAGGAGTGAGGGAAGGGGTTCAGGGTTCAGGCTGAAGGCTGGATGTGGAAGAGGTTTGTGAGTGAGGATGTGGCAGGTGGGGAGGGGCAGAAAAGGTGCCTGCAGAGGCTCAAGGGTTTCTGCAGGAGGGAGAGTCTGTGACTGTCAAGGGTAAGGCTGTCTATAACAAAGGCAGTACTTTGGGAGGGTCTGGAAATAGTGAGAAGGGGTCTGGGAGAGGAATGAGGGTCTTCCTAGTGTTGAGCTTGGGGGATGGAGGTGTGCAGTGAGAACTGGGGTTGGGGTGAGGTTCTGCCAGTGGTGCCAGGGGTGCGAAATGCAGGAAGTGATGAGGTTGAGAGGTCGGGTCTGGGGAGTGCTCAGGTTGGGAATGGGGGCCTGCAGGAAATGCTAACGTTGAAAGGATTGGTGTCTGCACGGTGTGTTGAGGTCAGGGGGCCAGGGCTGCAGCGAGTGTTGAAGTCCGGGTCGAGTCTATGGGTATTGCTGACGGTAGAGAAGCCAGGGCTGCAAGGAATGCAGAGAGGTCTGCAGAAGAATATCTTGCATGAACATCTC